GAAGTGCACATAAATAAACATAAATCTGACACAAAACGCTGATCTTTTCTTTAGTGAGCGTGTGCTGCCAGGCCTACTTGTAAACAGCGTGCACTTAAGCTGGAGACGCGGATCCGGCCAACTCACATCATTTCTCATCTTTCTGATAGACTTTTTCTGTGAAATGACTAAATGTAATACTGTTGTAACCATTTAGAGGTTACTTTAATAAATATTCAACATAATATATAAATGTATTCAGTTAAATGTAATAATACATAAAATATGGATTATCAGTATTATTGAGACTTTAATATGATTGATGATGAAAGTCGGTACTTTGGGTAATCCAGGGAAACACTTTATTATAATTTGGCTCAGAGACAAAAATATAGTTTATTAAAATCTATTTATTACAACATTAATGATGATGAAAGGCTAATGATTATAAATGGTGACACAGTGATGTTAAATGAAACCATGATGTCTGGTTTATTAAACACATCTGGCTGTTTGTTGGATGTCATTTAACAAGTTATCAGATTAATATCAACCACTCTGATGCCATTGGAGGACCTACGCACCATGGATCGTGGAAGCTCTTGGAGATCCGGTCTGTAGGTGAAGGGTGGACTTCTGATGTATCTGAAGATCGTAGACACCCTCAGCCTACTCACGACTGGTCTGAAGATCTTCAGTTCAATTCAATTCAAATTTATTCATAAACGCCAAATCAGGACCAGCGTCGTCTCAAGGACCTTCACACAGTAAATATTCCAACACAGGTCAGGTCATTAAGCCAATCAGTAAAAGGTTTCCTTTATAAGGAACCCAGCAGGTTCCATCGAGTCACTGACTAGTGTCAGAGTCTTTACAGCAATCCTCATACTAAGCAAGCATGCAGCGACAGTGGAGAGGAAAACTCCCTTTTAACAGGAAGAAACCTCCAGAGAATCCTGGCTCAGTATAAGCAGCCATCCTCCACGACTCACTGGGGATGGAGAAGACAAAACACACACACACACACACACACACACACACACACACACACACACACACACACACACACACACACACACACACACACACACACACATACACACACACACACACACACACACACACCTTAAAAGTTATGTAATTCTTCTTGAGTTCATCGACATACATATATGGACAATGGGTTTCCATAGATTCCAATAATAAGTTTTTGAGGCCAAATGGGAGGTGGCCACCAGCGCCATTTTGACCGTGTCACAGGTTCCGTCAAGCCCAGACAATTCCACAAAAGGGAAGAGATGTGGAACTGAGGGTGGGGCTGTAAGGCTGGGATCAAATGACGACACCCGGTCGAACTAGCTACAAGCTAACCTGAAGCTAATCCAAAGCTAATGCGGAGGTGGGAGCTAAGCTACTGGAGGTAGCTACCTAGCTACAACCAGAGCTAACTCTGTGGAACACCAGCGGCCTGAAGCTCACACGGAGTTTGTGTGGAGGTTTGCGGCGCTTTTTCATGAAAACTATCTTTCTGTGAATAAAAAAGTATTAAATCGGTTAGTTTAGTTACTTCCTTAATGAAAATATATTTTGCTTTGAGCAAGTTTTCAATCATTCTAATGTACCGTATTTTCCGGCTCCTCCTTGAACCGTCACCTTATCGTGGTGGAGGAGTTTGAGTGCCCTAATGATCCTAGGAGCTATGTTGTCTGGGGCACTTTGTGCCCCTGGTAGGGTCTCCCATGACAAATTGGTCTTAGGTGAAGGGTGAGACAAAGAACGGTTCAGGGGATCTTTCATGGAAGTAAATTCAAAGAGTCGGAGTACCCGGCCCGGAGGATTACCGGGGTCCCTACCTGGAGCCAGGCCTGGGGTTGGGGCCCGTGAGCGAGTGCCTGGTGGCCGGGCTTTCGCCCATGGGGCCCGGCCGGGCCCAGCCCGAACCGGATACATGGGCTCATCCAACTGTGGACCCACCACCCGCAGGAGGAACATGAAGGGTCCAGTGCAGTGTGGATCGGGTGGCAGACCGAGGCGGGAGCCTCGGCGGTCCGATCCCCGGACAAGAAAACTGGTTTTTGGGACATGGAACGTCACCTCGCTGGCGGGGAAGGAGCAGGAGCTTGTGGCAGAGGTTGAGCGGTATCGGCTAGATATAGTCGGACTCACCTCGACACATTGCATTGGCTCTGGAACCCGAGACCTGGAGAGGGGGTGGACGCTCTCCTTTGCTGGAGTTGCTCCGGGTGAGAGGCGGAGGGCTGGGGTTGGCTTTTTGTTAGCCCCAAGACTCTCTGCCTGTGTGTTGGGGTTTACCCCGGGGGACGAGAGGGTAGCTTCCCTGTGCCTTCGGGTCGGGGAACGGGTCCTGACTGTTGTTTGTGCTTATGGGCCAAATATCAGTTCAGAGTACCCACCCTTTTTGGAGTCCCTGGGACGAGTGCTAGATAGTGCTCCATCAGGGGACTCCATTGTCCTGCTGGGGGACTTCAATGCTCACGTGGGCAATGACAGCATGACCTGGAGGGGTGTGATTGGGAGGAACGGCCCGCCTGATCTGAACTCGAGTGGTGTTTCATTATTGGACTTCTGTGCAAGCTGCAGTTTGGCCATAACGAACACCATGTTCGAACATAAGGATGCCCACCGGTACACTTGGTACCAGGGCAGCCTAGGTCACAGGTCGATGATAGATTTTGTAGTCGTATCATCTGACCTGCGGCCGTATGTTTTGGACACCCGAGTGAAGAGAGGAGCAGAGCTGTCAACTGATCACCACCTGGTGGTGAGTTGGATCAGATGGCAGGGGAAGATGCTGCGTAGACCTGGCAGACCCAAACGCATAGTGAGGGTCTGCTGGGAACGCCTGCCAGAAGAACCTGTTAAGACGGTCTTCAACTCCCACCTCCGGCAGAGCTTTGACCACGTCCCGAGAGCAGTGGGGGACATTGACTCCGAGTGGGCCTTGTTCCACTCTGCGATTGTTGAGGCGGCTGTTGCTAGCTGTGGTCGTAAGGTGGCCGGTGCCAGTCGTGGTGGCAACCCCCGTACCCGCTGGTGGACACCAGAGGTTCGGGGAGCCGTCAGGCTGAAGAAGGAGGCCTACAGGGCGTGGCTGGTCTGTGGGTCTCCGGAGGCAGCAGACAGGTACCGGATAGCCAAGCGGGGTGCAGCAGTGGCAGTTGCCGAGGCAAAATCTCGGGCATGGGAGGAGTTTGGTGAGGCCATGGAGAAAGACTATCGATCGGCGCCAAAGAGGTTCTGGCAAACGGTCTGGCGCCTCAGGAGAGGAAGGCAGCAACTCGCTCACACTGTTTACAGTGAGGATGGGGAGCTGCTGACGTCAACTGAGGCTTTTTATAGATCTGGACAAGTGGGGGAGTAGAGGGAGGTGGAGTGTACAGTCGTTAAAGACGGCTCTCTCTTGCCCTGCCTCCAACATGCCTCCATCTAAATAGGATAGATTATCCAGAGTTATCTCTGTAGTTATGCTGCTATAGGCTTAGACTGCTAGTTTACCCGTTTAATTATAGATCCACTAGGATAAATGCAATAAAGTTTATCTCTCACCAAATATAATATTTACTAAGAAATCACAATGTAACCATAGAAACACTGTGTGTGTGTGTGTGTGTGTGTGTGTGTGTGTGTGTGTGTGTGTGTGTGTGTGTGTGTGTGTGTGTGTGTGTGTGTGTGTGTGTGTGTGTGTGTGTGTGTGTGTGTGTGTGTGTGTGTGTGTGTGTGTGTGTGTGTGTGTGTGTGTGTGTGTGTGTGTGTGTGTGTGTGTGTGCTGTCTTCTCCATCCCCAGTGAGTCGTGGAGGATGGCTGCTTATACTGAGCCAGGATTCTCTGGAGGTTTCTTCCTGTTAAAAGGGAGTTTTCCTCTCCACTGTCGCTAAATGCTTGCTTAGTATGAGGATTGCTGTAAAGATTCTGACACTAGTCAGTGACTCGATGCATTTTCAATCAATCAATCAAAGCTTTATTTATAAAGCGCCTTCCGCAACCCTGTCAGGAAGCCCAAAGCGCTGAACATTGTACAGTTGTACGTAAATATATTGAATAAATCAACAATAAAAGAAATTCAAATTACAAAATACAAATTACAAAACACAAAATGGAAATTACAAGATAGATGAAACATTCTGGTAAAGGACAAATGTGTGAAACACATTTGGATTGAGTGGATGGATTGAGTGTACCAATGAAAACTGTGGAATGGATTCAACATAAAAGAGGGCCAAAATCAAACATGTTCTGGAAACGCATGTTTCCTTATATAGGAAACATTTTATTGACTACCTTAATGACCTGACTTGCGTTGGAACGTTTACTGTGTGAAGACGACTCTTATTGTGATTTTTCCCTTGATAAATAAACTGAACTGGGTTTGTGTCGTGCACAGTATAAATGCTAGGAGCTGATCTAGCTAGCTCAGACAGTTAAACACAGATCCAGAGACTTCACAGACTCTGTAGGATGATCAGTGTTGTTTACTGCATCTTAACTTTGTGAAAAGACAACCAGACACCCAACAGATGAAACCAGGAGAGTGTAGCTGCCATGTATGAAGACTGTTTTTAGCAACTTCCTGTCTGAGTTCTTCTTCTACTGCCTTAGATGAACTAACAGAAAACAACCGCTAGATGTCGCCTTTACCAAGCTACCAAACAGCAACACCAGTCTACACTCCACATGTGTGTCGCACAGACCAAATTAATATCCAACCTCAGTAAAATTCACTCAATAAGGATGACACCATTAATGTGAACACGTGTTTGTGTTTTAGCAATGACAGGCTGAAATGAAACAGGAGTAATGCTGTTTTAGGAGTAAAGACTAACGAATAAGTACTCCAGTGATACACAACATTTATACTTGAGTACAGTAACTAAGTGCGCTTCGTTACCTGACACCTTTGGCTGTACTGCTAGATTGTTGATCTTTTAGAAATTTCTCGCGTATTCTAAATGTGTGCTTTTATTTTGAAGGGCCACGCAGATGACGTGCGCCTGCGCCAGGTGTGTTTTCCAGGTAAATGTCCTGAGGTAAACGTCAGACGCGGTGTTTTTCCAGAAGCAGCTTCAACACCGGTGGATTGTGTCAGACGAGCGGAAGCAGAAGAGAGATGATTGATTCTTGTTGAGGAGGAAATGGGATTGAGCCGCCAGCCGGTGGGTGCGTCCACTGTCCTGCTGCTGCTTCTGGTCAGCGGAGGCTCTTTCGTTTACGGTGAGTGAGAACACTACTCAGCCACCTGTGAAGGGTACAGGTGTGAGAACCGAACCGAACCGACAGGTGAGCGCATTACCCGCTCACTCAGCTAGGGAGCGTCTACACATGACAGCACCTTTGTAAAGTCGGTGCGGCTCACCCTGCTGCTCTGAGGAAACATCCTGATGGTGAAGAACCAGCACCAGTGCTCGTGTGTTCTGGTTAAACCGCTCGTTAATCAGAAAGAAAGTCATTTAGTTCCATCCCAGTTTAAAGGTCTTCTCTGTCACAATTAACATGAAAGTGTTAGGCGGCAGGGCCGGTGCTAGCCATTCGGGTGTCCTCTGTGGTGGCCCCCCACCACCCAAAACAAAAACTATACAGCCGTGTGTATCGGTGCATCTCCCTTTACTTTATTTAAGTTGAACTAAAACGACGGATTGAAATCTAATAAAACATGAAGCTAATTTGCCTCCACAACTCAATTAAAGAAACAACAATAATAATAATAATAATAATAATAATAATAATAATAATAGTAATAATGATAATAATAATATTACCACCACTGATATTTAAAAGGATCTGTGAAGTGATTGAAGAGGAACTGAAAATTAAAACTGTAAGGTATTGAAATACTAGGCTAGGGCCTTTGACTCCTCCCTTCTCCTGGGACTTCTTTTGATGATATAGATCTTCGTCTCCCCTCTCCCTGCCACACCTGGTGTGGAGTGTGGTGCCTTGGTCTGCCTGAGTGTTCGTGGCAACCGGGTCAGGGAGTTTAAGATTTTTGGCGTCTGCCTGATCAATCCCGGTGGCTGCCTGGTGGGGTCTGGGTCCCTGGGCTCTGCTGGGTCCCCGGCGGGGGTGGTCGTCCCTGGGTCCTGGGCTCGGCCGGCTAGGGGGTGGGAGGCTGCGAGCAGACCTGTGGGCTTGCCGCTGATGTCTCCCGGGGCTCTGTCGGCTGCTGGTTGTGGCCCCCCTGGGCGATCCTCTGCGCCTCTCGAGGGGGGGCGGGGGCTTTTCTGGTTGCAGTCTCCTTGGGGTTCCTGTGTTCTGGGGCAGCTCCTGGATCTCTGGGACTTGGAGCTCCTTCCGTCTCCTGCACATCTTTGGGGGTCAGATCTGTGGTCACTCACACTCTCTTTTGGATGCTCCTATAGAGAAACCTTACATAAACAAGCGCGTGTACACACACAGGTGCTCTCATGGTGCTCTCATAAGTATGGACTTGGGCACGTTAAACACATGTCTTAAGGCTGTGGTGGGCACTTAATGCACTGTGATTTATTATCGTGTGATTGTTCAGTTAAACAATGTTGATTTTACATTTCCTCCTCAGGTTGACGCAGTGATAGCTTGCTCCTGATGTATTGGTGTGTGTCCCATTTCTGCAGGTCTAGAAGCAGACTCTTGTTCATCATTGACTGTTTATTTTTGTGGATTTATCATTTATCCATCCACCCATCCTACATCATGTCATTCATAATAGTACCAGTTGTTGTATTTTGCCAAGCAAAAATAATCCATCACGTTAAGCTAACTTCATGATGTAACTGCATCCACTACACAGAGGATTATGTTCATGTGGTCATCATGAAATTATTGGTGTGATGAAAGCAAACATGGCTGGAATCAGTTTTACTGTAATCTTGTAATTATTCTCTAAGTGTGTGTGCTGCTGACATGAGTGAACTTCCCCACCGTGGGATTAATAATCTATTCTGTTCTATTCAATAAATCCTTATCAGCCAGTAGGAAAAAACATTTTGGCCTTTCCAGGCTTCCATACCAGGGACCTGGTCACAGAGCAGGGGTTGATCTCACAACACGCTGGCCACACGGTGGATTAAAACATCACCGCCTAACCAACCTATGTAGGAGAGGAGGCGAGAGGGAGTCACCGCGGTAGGAAGCCCAGCTTGCTGTGAGAGCAGCGATCTGTGGCTGAGGAGTGAAAACAAGACTAAACACATTAGGGACTGAAGCTCCGTCAGAATCGGCTGCATTTCTAAATAAAAGCATGTCATGTTGTTGTCACGGTTCTGGGAGAGAGAACCGGGCCTGCCCGTCCCATCAGCAGGTGAAGCTCATGGCTCCGCCCACCTCACAGCCAGAGCGAAGAGAAGCACGTGGGCTTGGTTATACAGGTGTGTGTGTGTGTGTGTGTGTGTGTGTGTGTGTGTGTGTGTGTGTGTGTGTGTGTGTGTGTGTGTGTGTGTGTGTGTGTGTGTGTGTGTGTGTGTGTGTGTGTGTGTGTGTGTGTGTGTGTGTGTGTGTGTGTGTGTGTGTGTGTGTGTGTGTGTGTGTGTGTGTGTGTGTGTGTGTGTGTGTGTGTGTGTGTGTGTGTGTGTGTGTGTGTGTGTGTGTGTGTGTGTGTGTGTGTGTGTGTGTGTGCTGTCCAGTAGCTAACACTAGAATTAATATAATCTGGTTTTTTCCATAAACCTGACTGCGTGGTGCCCCACTGGCCCCTCGGTGCCCTACCCACGGTGCGTGATGCGTTTAGGGAGCGCCGGCGCTGGTAGGTGGCCTAATCCTAATTCAGACATGCTGGAGGCATGCAGCAGAGGCGCGATTGAGACTGCAAGCCTAGATCCCAGCACTGCCCCCACAGGCTTGTGCAGTAGGCACTAGACATGATGGTGCATCACTTCATCTGCCTCTCTTCTTACCCTGATGCACCATCTCTCTGGACCAGGGTCCATCTGGACTCATACCAGTAATAAAGGGTTGGACAGTTCTTCATCCAGTTCCTGCATCTCCTTAGATGTTTTCTCTGCATGATGCCGGTGATCTGACTCTTCTCTCACAGATCACGTCTTCTCCACCACCAGATGTGTCTTTCCACCGGGTTGTTTAAGACCTGAGAAGCAGCTCGTTGCAGCTGAAAGATCATCGTCCGGTCCTGCATGTTTTCCATGTCTCTGCTTCAACACACCTGGTTTACACATCTGCACTGCATCCTCAGGAGGACATCAAGTGCTGCAGAAGCCTGTTATTCACTCGTTCTCTTAGGTCAGGTGTGGCAGCACAGGAGCCGGTGTTTGAAAGGACAACAGAAGCTACGGGACTGGGCCAGGCTCGTACTGTTAGCTTAGTCCAGTCCAGGCTGTGTGTCTTCAGCTGGAACGTTCGCCTTCAGACGACTCGTTGTGATGTGTTGCTTTATAAACGAACTAAGTTGAGTTAAAGATGGAGAACTGCAACGGCTCAAGGCGGCGTCAACAACAACGTTTGTGTTAAAGCACCGTTCACGTTTGCACACGAGGGGAGGAAACGTGCACGCTGATCCCAGCAGTGAAAGGTGAGCTGCAGCCCAGCAGGAAGCCATGAGTCAGGTGTGAGGTGCAGCATAATTAAAGAGCAGAGATCCAGTAGAACAGGTATGTGGGTGTTACAGGACATTCCCAGGATTCCTGACTGCAGAGAGCGCTGACTGTGCCAGAGCGACCGGCCGGCTGATGGGACTGGTGGTTAACGAGCTGCGTCCCAACGCCCAGACCCATTCAGAGCCAGAGGGTGAAATGCTTCCTCTAGTAGGCATGGGACATTGGTAGAAAAATATAGAAATCTTTGTTCTAAGGAACTAACCGTGGCACAGCGACCGTCGTTTTGATGTTCCTACTAGACCAGAACCATCAGCAGCGCCACCGTACCAACGCAGTGTTGGGACCATCTGTTTTCTGCCGATTCACTCTGTGGTGAAACCATTCATCACACCTTTTTCATCTCAGAACGTCCGATTATTCTAGTCTCCAGTCGGAAAGACGGGTGTCCCACGACACGGGGACGTGTTCTACGGTTTGGCTGAAAGTCGATAAATTCCATCAGAAACTCACAAACTACGATGAAAGCAGAGGTTTGGGGATTCTTGTCTGCATTCACTTGTGGGAGTAACTCGCCAGATTTAGGGCGCGTGATCATGACGTCATCACCGACGCGGCCGCCCCATCGGCAGCATACGAGTCCTTGCTGCTTGTCGCTAGTGTGGGGCGACGGTGGCACAGGAGCCAAGCGCTAGCCCCATAATCAGAAGGTTGCAGGTTCGAGCCCCTCTGTTGCTGCTGTTGTGTCCTTGGGAAAGACACTTGAGCTCCCTCGCCTGCTGGTGGTGGTCGGAGGTACCGGTGGCGTCAGCAGATCCGCCTCTGTCAGCACGCCCCAGGGCAGCTGTGGCTACATCGTAGCTCATCACCATCAGTGTGTGAATGGGTGAGTGACTGATTGTATTGTAAAGCACCTTGGGGGGTTCCAGGACTCTAGAGGGCGCTATATCAAATACAGACCGTTTACGTTTACTGACAGCGCGCCCAGTCTCGCTCTTGCAGACTAAATGATTTTATAATTCATTCGATGGGTTGTGTTACAGAACCGCGGTGAATGGTTGCTGTGTTGCGGGGCTCAACACGTGGTCGCCAGGGAAAACTGTGGAAACGGGCTAATTTTTCCCAGTTTTCCTGGTTGGAGGCACAGCCACGAGACCAGGTATCTTGCATAACGTCTCGTCAGATCGCAGCTTGAGGCAACCAAACATCACCTTCTGGCTCTTGTGTACACGGTTTCTGTCCTTCAGCCATTTTAATTGTTTTAGTAGAAAAACAGCAAATGAAATGTTTACCTCTCACCTGTTTAGCCCTAGCCCCCCACACGCTTATGCCCGTGAGCGTGCTCCACGATGCTCTGGTAGCGTGGAACCAAGACTTTGTCCTAGATGGGAGGAGCTTGTGCGGAGGCCTGGCTACACATGTCTCTGATTCACCATGTCAGCTTAGAGAACATTTGGCTCCCTAACGTTTCATAAATGTTTGTTTTCAGCAGCGTGTGACCTGCAAAAGGAAATCCAGTGACTAGAAAGAGCCCTGACTTACAGCTGGGGAGGTGGATTATAATGATGATCAGTAGAGGATATTTGCCTTATTATACCATAATGATGAGAATAAACGTCATGTTTCCTGCGCCCTAGCGGTCAGGTGGTGATGTGTGTAGGTTCAGGTGTGGAAGCCCAGCCGTACGTCGGAATGAAGGTGCTTTGCTGAACCGTGAGCATTTCTGGGTAGTTATAAACATGTTCAAGGTCCACTTATATGGGCTCTTCTGATTATCAGTGGTAACTGATTTGCCAGGTAATCTGGTCCAAGCTCTGATGTTTCCGTTGTAGTGGTTTAAAACTAGATTAAAATGATTTCTTTGTGCGTTTGCCCAACTGCAGCGTGACTTCTAGGTTCATGTTGGCACACGCTTTCTCTGCAGAGGTCACTTTTATTTCCTTGTTCAGCTCAGAGCTACAGGAAGTTCCATTCATTAGAATTTCCTTTTATGGTCAGAGGTTTTATTAAAATGCATAAAGATGACATACTTCCTGTTCTGTGAGGGAACCAGAGTGTTATTACGACCGATCTGTTGAGCTGTTTTTAGCTCAGAGCATCTCAGGGCCCATGACACCATATCACAGCTCTCACTTCTCCAAACGCTAGTGTTGGCTAGCTGTGGCGGCCATGTTGAACTGAGTTGACTTCTAAACCTGAGACGCATTCATGGTGACGATGTGAAGCATCCTAACACAAAATCATATCAAAGATACTTTATTAATCCCAGAGGGAAATTAGAGTTTCAGTACACACAGTTCAGAGATCAGACATACATGGGCAAGACACATGACAAGAACTGGTGACTGTGGTCATTCGCAACCCTGAGTCACGCTACCTTCATAGAGATCAGAGGGTTACATGAGGATTGGTTCAGGTGGAGGGAAAAAAGGCACTTCAGAGTTACCCTCCACCAGGAGGGCAGCTTTGCTCTGCAAAAAAACACCTCAGACAGATATGCAACAGACTTCAGACAACACAACATGAGACTCCAATAGGAAGGCGGCGGTGGGGGGGGGGGGCTGGGATCCTGTTTCCCCCAGCGAGAGCAGCCATCTACGGTGCTCAGCCACCGCAGCCACAGGTGGGAGGGAGATCTTGGGAGAAGCGAAGAGCACATTGACTCCTGCAGGTTGATGGCCTCGCCAGGCTGAAGTCCACCAATCCGAAGGCGGAGTGGGGGGGGGGGGGGTTTCACAGCATCTGTCTGCATTTCTTCGTGGGGGGTTGTAGCCTCTCAAGGCTACCAGGGCGTCAGATTCAGATAACAAGACTTTGTTTGGGTCAGGCTGAGATAATTTTCCTCTCTCCCTTCAGTCTTTCAACTGATCATTCCAGTCCTTCAGTGAAGCCAATTTTGGGTTTTAAACTTGTCCACACCGTCCGGTGACTCTCTCCGAGATTACATCCATATTGCGCACTAATACCGGTATCGCAGCTAGAACATTGTCCAGCTTATGATTCACCTCGAGTAACGTCCCAGTCTGAGAAGTCTCCACACGGACGGTGCTTTCCGTGGGTGTGGGTTGCCCTCCAATCGCTCCCATCTTCCCAAATTTCCAGAAAACCAGATATCCTCCCACTCCAATCAGGAGAAATCCAGTGATCATCAGGCCAAATATCCACATATCTTCAATGGACAGCTGGGAGAGGCATACGATCCTCCATTCCCTCCAGGAATCCAGCATATACCCCACCGGGTGTGTCCCCTGTGGACATGTGGGAGCCCCCTGCTCCGTTCTCATTGTTGAAAAAATCTTATCGATCGTGTTGAATGACCAGTTAATTAAATCCGCGGTTAGTAAAAATAGGGTTTTCAGAAGAAATGCAGAGAAGCGCTCTGTGGGCAGACAGGACAAAGAGCCTTGGGGAAAAAAGATAAGGGAGCAAGGAGAGAAGCGTCTGTGCTCTGCGAGTGCTGGGAGAGAATATGAGGATAAAAGCCACTACCGTGTTGTAACGTTCGCCCGGGCGTCTTTAGTCACGGGACTTGTTCCAGGTCAGGGTGATGGAGGCTCAGGGAACTAGTCGGGTCATGCAGCCAGATCAGAAGACCAGGTTAACGGTGAGGTGGATGGGCAGGGGACAGAAAACACACGCACGCACGCACGCACGCACACGCACGCACACACACACACACACACACACACACACACACACACACACACACTCCTGTTTCAGGGTACAGTTCTGATGAAGTCTAATGTTTTGGTTAATGACACCATCTGTGGTCCAACTGTGACATCATCTTCTTTTTGCAGTTGCCCCTCCCACCAACGTAGTTGTGAGCTGTCAGAACCTGAACACCCGAGTCAGCTGGGATTACAGGTCACCGCAGCCGCGCACCGTTTTCCGAGTCACCATCACAGGATCCTCGGGGTAAGCTAAACTGCTGCTGGATTATGGGCAATCCCCCTCCACATCGGTCCCACCCAGCCCACACCTCTGGCTTTGTACTCGAGTAAAAGGATCAAATAAATAAAAGTGGAAGTATCCAAGAATTCTTTGACTTGGGTAAAAGTATTAAGAGTTGGAATTTTTAAATGTACTGAAAAGTAAAAAGTATTGAACCAACATTTAAGTGTGTTGTTGCACAAAATGCTATTAAAGTACTTTTAGAAAATGTAATGACCTAGAAAGTACAGATACTGGCTACATAAGGTAAAATACTTGTGTGCAGTAACTAAGTACTTTGCTGCATCCCACTGCGGAGGCTCCATTGTACCGACCCTACAGCCGTTGTTCATGATGAATGTGTCTGCTGTTAGTTCTCACGAGGAGAACACCACAGAACACACCTGGTATGATCTGAGCCCGTTCGTCTGGCGCTCAGCCACGCACTACCAGGACTTCCTGTACGTGACCGTGGAGGCCGTGCAGGGGGCCCACCAGTCTGAAGCCATCAAGTCCCAAAGCTTCTCCTTCAACAACTTGAAGACGGTGCATAAAACATGTAAGTGGAGCGTTTCGATCTTCAGATGTGGTGTTGGCCTCCAGCTTCAGCTGCACTATGTCTCCTCAGGTGTTTTAGATTTCCCTCGTGCGCAGTTAGACGTGGGCGAACTCGCATCAGTGACGTTTGAGAATCCTCTCAAACTCTACCCACAACTGAACGATGCCTCTGAGCTCCAAATCACAGCCATCGCAGCGGGACAGGAAGTACGTACCGCTCACGTTTATTTCTTACAGGTCAGACAAACGTTCAGGTCTCATGAAGTTCTGCTTCAGAGTCTTTAAAGGTGTGGATGACTAAAAACACAGTTTTAATGATCATAACGGGTCACTCTGAGTGCTTCATGCAGGCTGAACATGAAAATAGTCTCCTACACCCATCTCCTGCTTTAACTTCTGATAGAAAACAGGCTCCTAGTTTTTCATTTAGTTTTGCTGTGAGGAGATTTGAAACATGGCTGAACGCGTTCTGTTAGCCAATCAGAAGCGAGGTGTGTGCATATCATTAATAAGGAGTTGTCCAGCTGTTTTCAGCCCACCTCTGCATTTCAGAACAGGAGCGCCATAGCTTTTATTTTGAAAGGACTCATAAGGCATTGATGTACGGTCTAGAGAACACTGACAACGCGTCGCATAAACGCGTAAACCACACACGAGTCAGCTGATAGTGGTTTACTGAAGTAAAAAGCGAGTGGCGATCCTGACCGAGCCGGTCTGTTCTCAGTTTACAGGACTCTGCCTGGAGCAGCATCCCATCTGCAAAGTGGACGTAACGTTCGTTGAGGGCCAGACGAAGTGTGTCCGACTCAGAGGGGTGTTGTTTAACCGGAGGGGCCTTTGCCAGGTGTCCTTCAGAGATGAGGATGGAATCTGTTCCCATGGTAACCATTACATCGCTGACCTATTTATATGATGGGGTCCATAAGAAAATAATGTTAAGAAGGCATTGTTGGTTTTCATGGCTGAGTAACTTCATAATCACCCTATCAGGTTTAACCATGACAAGTGACCTCACCAGTGTCATTCACCCATTCACACGCTGGTGATGAGCTACAGTGTAGCCTTCATCCATTCACACGCTGGTGATGAGCTACAGTGTAGCCTTCATCCATTCACACGCTGGTGATGAGCTACAGTGTAGCCTTCATCCATTCACACGCTGGTGATGAGCTACAGTGTAGCCTTCATCCATTCATACTCTAGTGGTGATGAGCTACAATGTAGCATTCATCCATTCACACGCTGGTGATGAGCTAGTGTAGCCTTCATCCAGTCACTCTAGTGGTGATGAGCTACAGTGTAGCATTCATCCAGTCACGCGCTGGTGATGAGCTAGTGTAGCCTTCATCCAGTCACTCTAGTGGTGATGAGCTACAGTGTAGCATTCACCCATTCACACGCTGGTGATGAGCTACAGTGTAGCCTTCATCCATTCACACGCTGGTGATGAGCTACAGTGTAGCCTTCATCCATTCACACGCTGGTGATGAGCTACAGTGTAGCCTTCATCCATTCATACTCTAGTGGTGATGAGCTACAGTGTAGCATTCATCCATTCACACGCTGGTGATGAGCTAGTGTAGCCTTCATCCAGTCACTCTAGTGGTGATGAGCTACAGTGTAGCCTTCATCCATTCACACACTGGTGATGAGCTACAGTGTAGAATTCATCCATTCACACGCTGGTGATGAGCTAGTGTAGCCTTCATCCAGTCACTCTAGTGGTGATGAGCTACAGTGTAGCATTCATCCATTCACACGCTGGTGATGAGCTACAGTGTAGCCTTCATCCAGTCACTCTAGTGGTGATGAGCTACAGTGTAGCATTCATCCATTCATACTCTAGTGGTGATGAGCTACAGTGTAGCATTCATCCATTCACACACTGGTGATGAGCTACAGTGTAGCATTCATCCAGTCACACGCTGGTGATGAGCTACAGTGTAGCCTTCATCCAGTCACACGCTGGTGATGAGCTACAGTGTAGCCTTCATCCATTCACACGCTGGTGATGAGCTACAGTGTAGCCTTCATCCATTCACACACTGGTGATGAGCTAGTGTAGCCTTCATCCAGTCACTCTAGTGGTGATGAGCTACAGTGTAGCCTTCATCCATTCACACGCTGGTGATGAGCTAGTGTAGCCTTCATCCAGTCACTCTAGTGGTGATGAGCTACAGTGTAGCCTTCATCCATTCACACGCTGGTGATGAGCTAGTGTAGCCTTCATCCAGTCACTCTAGTGGTGATGAGCTACAGTGTAGCCTTCATCCATTCACACGCTGGTGATGAGCTAGTGTAGCCTTCATCCAGTCACTCTAGTGGTGATGAGCTACAGTGTAGCCTTCATCCATTCACACGCTGGTGATGAGCTACAGTGTAGCATTCATCCAGTCACACGCTGGTGATGAGCTAGTGTAGCCTTCATCCAGTCACTCTAGTGGTGATGAGCTACAGTGTAGCCTTCATCCATTCACACGCTGGTGATGAGCTAGTGTAGCCTTCATCCAGTCACTCTAGTGGTGATGAGCTACAGTGTAGCCTTCATCCATTCACACGCTGGTGATGAGCTAGTGTAGCCTTCATCCAGTCACTCTAGTGATGATGAGCTACAGTGTAGCCTTCATCCATTCACACGCTGGTGATGAGCTACAGTGTAGCCTTCATCCATTCACACGCTGGTGATGAGCTACAGTGTAGCATTCATCCAGTCACACGCTGGTGATGAGCTACAGTGTAGCCTTCATCCAGTCACACGCTGGTGACGAGCTAGTGTAGCATTCATCCATTCACACACTGGTGATGAGCTACAGTGTAGCAATCATCCATTCACACGCTGGTGATGAGCTACAGTGTAGCATTCATCCATTCACACGCTGGTGATGAGCTACAGTGTAGCCTTCATCCATTCACACGCTGGTGATGAGCTGCAGTGTAGCCTTCACCCATTCACACGCTGGTGATGAGCTACAGTGTAGCCTTCATCCATTCACACGCTGGTGATGAGCTACAGTGTAGCCTTCATCCAGTCACTCTAGTGGTGATGAGCTACAGTGTAGCCTTCATCCATTCACACGCTGGTGATGAGCTAGTGTAGCCTTCATCCAGTCACTCTAGTGGTGATGAGCTACAGTGTAGCCTTCATCCATTCACACACTGGTGATGAGCTAGTGTAGCATTCATCCAGTCACTCTAGTGGTGATGAGCTACAGTGTAGCCTTCATCCATTCACACGCTGGTGATGAGCTAGTGTAGCCTTCATCCAGTCACTCTAGTGGTGATGAGCTACAGTGTAGCCTTCATCCATTCACACGCTGGTGATGAGCTACAGTGTAGCCTTCATCCATTCACACGCTGGTGATGAGCTAGTGTAGCATTCATCCATTCACACGCTGGTGATGAGCTAGTGTAGCATTCATCCATTCACACGCTGGTGATGAGCTAGTGTAGCATTCATCCATTCACACGCTGGTGATGAGCTAGTGTAGCATTCATCCATTCACACGCTGGTGATGAGCTACAGTGTAGCATTCACCCATTCACACGCTGGTGATGAGCTACAGTGTAGCATTCATCCATTCACACGCTGGTGATGAGCTACAGTGTAGCATTCACCCATTCACACGCTGGTGATGAGCTACAGTGTAGCATTCACCCATTCACACGCTGGTGATGAGCTACAGTGTAGCATTCATCCATTCACACGATGGTGATGAGCTAGTGTAGCCTTCATCCAGTCACTCTAGTGGTGATGAGCTACAGTGTAGCCTTCATCCATTCACACACTGGTGGTGGCGAGCCACAGTGCAGCAACAGCTGCCGAGCGCAGGAGCCACGGCCCCCCTGGGCCCCCCAGGCTAGGGGAACCGTGATCTGAACGTGGAAGCTTGATGTTTTCTTTCAGAAGAGGTGAAGGAGGTGGATGAGAAGGTTGCTGCCATCATCGTGGGTTCTCTCTTCGTTCTTGTAATCATCGTTTTGATTGTGATCATCTGGTGGGTGAAGGCCTGGAGCATGCAGACATCCAACCTACCCGTGATCCTGGTGAGCTGTTGGCCTACAGAAGACTGATGATGATGAAGATGCCTCTAACCTTCATCTCCTAACAGGTGTCTAAACCCCATCAAAGGCTGTACCACCCCCAGGAAAAGGTGAAGATCAGTCCCGTCTTTCTGTGCTCGTCTTCCAAGAGTCCTGCCATCAAACCCTCGATGAGTGGCGTCTGCTCAGAGTACCACAGCTGGGGCGCACAGCTGGAGGACCAACACCAGCAGCTGGAGGACCAACACCAGCAGCTGGAGGACCAACACCAGCAGCTGGAGGACCAACACCAGCAGCTGGAGGCTGAGGGATTGATGTCCAAGGGGACAGAAGAGGACTCTACAGACGACTCCACGAGGACGGACTCCGTGTCCGTCTCTTCACAAGACGAGGAGCAGCAGCCTGTGTCGCCCTACGACCGCTCCCACTTTGTGGAGGTGGACATGGGAGTTGGAGACATGGTGACTGGTTACATTGGGGAATAACCAGACCTGTGAGGATTAACTCTGACTGGTTACACTGGGGAATAACCAGACCTGTGAGGATTAACTCGACTGTAATCTAAGACTGAGGCTGTCTGAGAGGGACAACAGTGGTTTGAGCCTGGAGCTCCTGTCCTCCAGCAGGAAGTCATACGTGTGTTTGAACTCTACACACTTCCACGCCCACTGCTGCTGCTGGGAGACGCCTGACCAGCTCAACTGGCTCGGGGGGTATTTCTGAAGGAAGGTGTCGAGCTGCTCGTGCGGAACGGTCCATCAGATAAATGTTGTCTCAGATCTTTATCAGCAGAGGACAAAGAGACAGAGATGTCACAAAGCTGTTTTATTAGAGAGAGAGAAGCTCCAGTAGAACATGATGGAAACGTTCTGACCCAGTCCACTGACACTAAAGCTTCACACCCTGAATGTTTGTTCTCAGATGTAACATCTGCTTCTCCTGACGAGCTTTCTCCTCCTTGAACGCCATCTTGTTGGCTTTCTTCTCTACTCTTCTCTCCTGGACAGAAAAGAGAGACAGTCAGGATGAGATGTTCCAGCTGACACGAGTACTCCAGCAGACTGCAGCTCTTCCTCAGGTTGTTGTCCTAAGAACACTAATGTCCCTCATCAAGAACTTCTAAGACAGGCCAATGACTGAGGAAATGTTGGAGCTGGTCTCTACGGAGGTGGAGCAGCAGCAGAAAAACACCCAGTTCCTGACCGTAACCTCTGACCTTGCGCTCCTCCTTGATGGCCTGTTTCCTCGACCTCCTCTCCTCTGTGCTCTCCTCCTTGTTCCGGGTCTGAGTGGAGACTCGCGGCAGGTCTGAGTTGTTGATTCTCGTCATCCGTTCTTCCTGTTTGGCTGTGAGACCTCTGGTGGGGAGGACGTCCAGAGGAATGCCGGTCTTACTGGAGACACGGAGGGGCTTTGGCTGCAGATGAGACAACGTGAGTGAGGCTGAGAACTTCCTGTTGACAACGCCAACATCTAAACAAATGTTTGACCCCATTACCACTGCCTCTGTATTTTACACAAGTTGCATCATTATATATGTATATATATATATATATATATACATATATATATACATGTACATGTGATAGTGATGTTTTTAATAAAGCCTGGATCCAGAGCATCTCCATGTTCCTGTGATCTCCAAACACGTTGATGTTCTACTTGTTTCAGCAGAACCCAGGTAGAGCTAAATCTCATTCAAACGTACCAAACTCTGCTATAACTGTGTAGATCAGTAGCCCTGCACATGTACGCCTGATAGTTTGTTACTGGAGCCGGGCGTACACTACCTTTTTCACTGTTATGAGCTGATTTTCCCGATCGGGGCGAGTGTAGTGTAGTATACAGAGTACCGAGAGGTGCGGCGTACAGGGTACCGAGAGGTGCGGCGTACAGGGTAGCGAGAGGTGCGGCGTACAGAGTAGCGAGAGGTGCGGCGTACAGAGTAGCGAGAGGTGCGGCGTACAGAGTAGCGAGAGGTGCGGCGTACAGAGTAGCGAGAGGTGCGGCGTACAGGGTAGCGAGAGGTGCGGCGTACAGGGTAGCGAGAGGTGCGGCGTACAGGGTAGCGAGAGGTGCGGCGTACAGAGTAGCGAGAGGTGCGGCGTACAGAGTAGCGAGAGGTGCGGCGTACAGAGTAGCGAGAGGTGCGGCGTACAGAGTAGCGAGAGGTGCGGCGTACAGGGTAGCGAGAGGTGCGGCGTACAGGGTAGCGAGAGGTGCGGCGTACAGGGTAGCGAGAGGTGCGGCGTACAGAGTAGCGAGAGGTGCGGCGTACAGGGTAGCGAGAGGTGCGGCGTACAGAGTAGCGAGAGGTGCGGCGTACAGAGTAGCGAGAGGTGCGGCGTACAGAGTAGCGAGAGGTGCGGCGTACAGGGTAGCGAGAGGTGCGGCGTACAGGGTACCGAGAGGTGCGGCGTACAGGGTACCGAGAGGTGCGGCGTACAGGGTAGCGAGAGGTGCGGCGTACAGGGTAGCGAGAGGTGCGGCGTACAGGGTAGCGAGAGGTGCGGCGTACAGGGTAGCGAGAGGTGCGGCGTACAGGGTAGCGAGAGGTGCGGCGTACAGGGTAGCGAGAGGTGCGGCGTACAGGGTACCGAGAGGTGCGGCGTACAGGGTAGCGAGGTGCGGCGTACAGGGTAGCGAGAGGTGCGGCGTACAGAGTAGCGAGAGGTGCGGCGTACAGGGTACCGAGAGGTGCGGCGTACAGGGTACCGAGAGGTGCGGCGTACAGGGTACCGAGAGGTGCGGCGTACAGGGTAGCGAGAGGTGCGGCGTACAGGGTAGCGAGAGGTGCGGCGTACAGGGTAGCGAGAGGTGCGGCGTACAGGGTAGCGAGAGGTGCGGCGTACAGGGTAGCGAGAGGTGCGGCGTACAGGGTAGCGAGAGTTGCGGCGTACAGGGTAGCGTGAGGTGCGGCGTACAGGGTAGCGAGGTGCGGCGTACAGGGTAGCGAGAGGTGCGGCGTACAGAGTAGCGAGAGGTGCGGCGTACAGGGTAGCGAGAGGTGCGGCGTACAGGGTAGCGAGAGTTGCGGCGTACAGGGTAGCGAGAGGTGCGGCGTACAGGGTAGCGAGGTGCGGCGTACAGGGTAGCGAGAGGTGCGGCGTACAGAGTAGCGAGAGGTGCGGCGTACAGGGTACCGAGAGGTGCGGCGTACAGGGTACCGAGAGGTGCGGCGTACAGGGTACCGAGAGGTGCGGCGTACAGGGTACCGAGAGGTGCGGCGTACAGGGTAGCGAGAGGTGCGGCGTACAGGGTAGCGAGAGGTGCGGCGTACAGGGTAGCGAGAGGTGCGGCGTACAGGGTAGCGAGAGGTGCGGCGTACAGGGTAGCGAGAGTTGCGGCGTACAGGGTACCGAGAGGTGCGGCGTACAGGGTACCGAGAGGTGCGGCGTACAGGGTACCGAGAGGTGCGGCGTACAGGGTAGCGAGAGGTGCGGCGTACAGGGTAGCGAGAGGTGCGGCGTACAGGGTAGCGAGAGGTGCGGCGTACAGGGTAGCGAGAGGTGCGGCGTACAGGGTACCGAGAGGTGCGGCGTACAGGGTACCGAGAGGTGCGGCGTACAGGGTACCGAGAGGTGCGGCGTACAGGGTACCGAGAGGTGCGGCGTACAGGGTACCGAGAGGTGCGGCGTACAGGGTACCGAGAGGTGCGGCGTACAGGGTAGCGAGAGGTGCGGCGTACAGGGTAGCGAGAGGTGCGGCGTACAGGGTAGCGAGAGGTGCGGCGTACAGGGTAGCGAGAGGTGCGGCGTACAGGGTAGCGAGAGGTGCGGCGTACAGGGTAGCGAGAGTTGCGGCGTACAGGGTACCGAGAGGTGCGGCGTACAGGGTACCGAGAGGTGCGGCGTACAGGGTACCGAGAGGTGCGGCGTACAGGGTAGCGAGAGGTGCGGCGTACAGGGTAGCGAGAGGTGCGGCGTACAGGGTAGCGAGGTGCGGCGTACAGGGTAGCGAGAGGTGCGGCGTACAGGGTAGCGAGAGGTGCGGCGTACAGGGTACCGAGAGGTGCGGCGTACAGGGTACCGAGAGGTGCGGCGTACAGGGTACCGAGAGGTGCGGCGTACAGGGTACCGAGAGGTGCGGCGTACAGGGTACCGAGAGGTGCGGCGTACAGGGTACCGAGAGGTGCGGCGTACAGGGTACCGAGAGGTGCGGCGTACAGGGTAGCGAGAGGTGCGGCGTACAGGGTAGCGAGAGGTGATTTAACACCACATGACCAGCTCATCTCGTGAGCGCGGTGCTGCGGCCCAGAAAGTACTGGAACTGCGTAAATATGCATCAGCACAGCTTGCCAGCTATTTGCCGATTATACAACAGTTAGTGCCGACCGAGTGATTTGATTGGTCAAGAGACTTTCCAAGAGTGCTGATATTGGACTGTAACAGCACTGGGGCTGTGCACAGGCGTTCTAACCGTTATTGTAGAAAATGTTTGTGTTGCCTAGCAACAGCCTTGTCTGAGTCCGTTTCGTGTTGGGACTAGTTGTGTGGGCGGAGCCTGATAAATGAACAAATCATAATCTGTTGTTGCTTATTGCTCTAAAAATAAAACGAGCAGGTAGAACTGTTGTATAAAAGCAATGTCGCACTCGAGGTCGTGGTTGTTGCTGATTATCCACGACCGAATCACACCAGTGCTGATATTCAGCAACGACGCACGACCTCGAGTGTGATATTGCTTAACTAGCACACACTTTTATTCACACACAATGACTAGGATTGAGAAGAAAGCGTGTTTGTGTTCAATTTAACTGATAAAACATTCTTTGTTTCTTTAGTCTTCCTCATCCAACCGCCACGATCCCTGTGTGTGCTCCTACAGCACTCCTGAAGGACAACAGTGTAATAACGGCTAGTTTCAGCAGATGTTTATTTTGGACACCAGTGGTGGATTTAGATCAAGGCTGAAAACCTACTCGGCCTTTTCTAATGCTACTTTTACTCTGCCAGTGTTGGTTTTATGTGCGGTGCCAGGGCTTATGCCTGTAAGCCGTACACAAGTACAGTCTGACTTGAGTCGGGTTGCTACCAGACGTACAACGTGAGCACGTGACTCGTGAGATTTGCTCTGCAGGGAAGTTGTGCGCTAAGTGAAAAAACCGCCATGTCCACCTGGTTTACGTGGAAACTACAGAGCTCCTTTCTGTTGCTTCAGGTTCATGTACAACAATTACATCTCACACACACACACACACACACACACACACACACCTTTGATGGTTCTTCAATGACCTTGGGCCTGTTGTACAGGTTGGAGTAAGTACCTGGAGGACAGAAGAGACAACAGGAAAACTAAGATACAAACCAGGTGTGTTAGCGTAGCTGCTAACCGTGATTACCAACATAATCAGGTCTAAATGTTTGTGCTGGTTGGAGGTGAGACACATCTACCACCGCCGAGGCATCTAGACTCTGGACTAGAGTCACCGTCGGTCTAGAAATGAACTCTGGTTCAGATCTGAGGGTAGCGGAGGGTTTCTGCAGTTTGGGTTTTATTGTTTAACAACATGAATCAACAAATTCAGATTCATTCCTTTTTCATCTTTACCAGAGGCTGAGGTCATAACGTCCCTCTGACTTTAGTCTAATGAAGTCAGACGGACGCTAGCCGCTTCTGGCTTAGCGCAGTAGACAAAAGGACGTCTTACAGGAGAGCAGCTGAGCGTGGACCTGAGAGACGCTCCAGCGGCGTTGATAACAACTATCTACACATCGAACGTGTCCAGTTTTTTATTTGTGAAAGTTTTGTGTCTTTCTGACGAACGGCTGCTCGTGGTTTTGGTTGGATCATCACTTCACAGCTTTCTTGTGTCTGAAGGATCTGTAGACCAGCGTCTGGCTGGTTCAGCAACAAGAGCCAAACAGACACGCACCTCCGTCCTTACAGACTACAGGAAGTCCGCAGGCACGAAAGCAACATGGACACGTTTAAGGTGGACTTGATGTTTTCTGTGAAAATACAAAGACTAATGATCTAATCCACACTGATACTGGTGTTACTGGAAATATGACTCACTGATGATGGTTTCACAGTCCCACTTGTCCTGTGGAGCCTCCACAACAAGGGTCTCCATCTCTTCTTCTTCCACCTCTTCGTTCACGACAGGTAGCTCTTTAGGACCCAGGTCTTCAGGTCTCAGGGAGCTGATCCACAGACGAACATGAATTAGCTGCTAATCACATCTGATGGAGCATCACACCCTCTTAGCTTTACTGAAACCAGTCATGTGACGTCCAACAACCTTTGAATGGCTCTTCAAAGGCAAGAATGGGTGCTTTCACATCTGGGCTAGCACGGACCGGACATGGCGGCTTTTAAAGTGTTCGTATCTAGGTAGCCTCGTACTTTTCTGTGCTCAACCAGTCAGCCCACATATCAGGGAGGTAGGTCCAAAACACACACTGACAACTGACTGGCCCACTCAGATACACATCTACTGTTAAACCCTTTTCAGATAGACCTTCTGGAACATTTGTGGACAATTCAGTCCGGTTTCTAACCAGAACTGTGTTTTCAGACACACCACTTTTGTACCTGAACTTGTCCTTTTGGCCGCCTTCACACAGCAGGGAAATGTTCCAGATGTCTTGGGGGGGGGGGGTCGGACTTATGTTAAGCATAATTCTGCACACACGAACACGCATAAGAGACCTGGATGATGAAGCTCAATGGTTAAAGGAATCACGGAAGCGGTGTGAAGCGCTCCGTCGCACGTCTAGACGGTACCGTAGGAGGCGAGCTGCCGTGGTTCGCCACATGCTACAGCAGCCGGCTATCTAGGTGCGCACAGCGTCCCCCGGTCCCCTCCTCCTCCCCCTCCTCCCTGTCCAGAACTCTACCTCACCAGTCTGAAGCAGCCACCCTGTCCGTAACAAGTCCGGACCTGTTACTAGGGGCTTCGTCTGGATAAATTCCGGAAAACGTTATCTGGATGTTTGTATTCAGACAGAAAGGTCTTACGGACAGATTCCGGAACATTTCCGGTTTTCATGGCCTCTCTGAAGGGGGCTTTGGAGGAAGCCTTTGATTGGTGGATGGAATCAAGCAGCAGCTTCCCGCATGCACCATTCATCATCATTCCCGATGCTGAGAAGTCAACGTTGCCTCTGACTGACGCTCTCTCTCCTCACTGCTGTGAGAAGCACACACACACACACACACACACACGCTCATGCATGCGCACGCACGCACACACACACACACAGTCCAGGTCCAGTCCGTGCTGGCCCAGATGTGAAAGCACCATGAGATCAGAGTCCTTGTAGAGAACTGTTGAATCATCCCCCCCCCCCCCCCCCCCCCCTCTCGACACACACACACACACACACTGAATGAATTGCACCTTCGAAGAGGCCTAAGTCCCATCACTAACCAAAACTAAAGCCAGCTGAAAGGATGGAAATGCATCTCACACTCTAGCTTTCTGTGTGAAGTAATCTCTGATGACCACCTCCAAGCGCTCGCTGTCTGGAGCGATGAAACCTTCCAGCTCAGCGTTGTCCAGAGCGCCAATCTCGTCATCGTCAAACTGCTGGTAAAACTGAAACATACAGCAGGAAGTGGGGTTCATTAGCAGAGACCTGTGACGTGATCTGAGGTTTGTATTCGTTTTTTGTTCTTCTGGGACCCGTGGTCCAGAAGTAGATGGGCGTGGCTTAGGCTCCCTATTCAGGCTGAAATTCCTAAATTGTCACACATGAACAGTGAAGCAGGGGTCGTAAGGTTGTAGGCTGCAGCCTGAGGTGTTTAGAGAAGGGTTTTCCACACCGTTAGTGATGTGTGCACGGGCTTGGCGCAGCTGTGAAGGGAGCTCTACGCAGCCCTGTCCTCTAGGACTGGTGCTAGAGACTGACTCTGGGTGGACCATCACCTTTTCAAAGCGCTCGTCCAGCAGGGTGAGCTGCTGGTTCCTCCTCATCACAGACGAAGACAGGGAGTACTCTGTGAAGCGACTCTTCGTCTCCTCGTCCATGAACAGCAACTCTCCACCACCTCCTTCAGCGTGTTCATCTCCTGAAAATCCTCCTTCTGAGTCAAAGTCTCCATCGTCCGTGTCCTCCCACTCATCATCATCATCGTCGTCGTCGTCACGTCCTTCCCTGTCACATGTTTGACACAGACAGAATTTTACACACATTTAAGGATCAATAACAGCATCACATGTCAGTCAGCAGATGTGTGGTGGTCTTCTTCTCCCACTCAGACCACAGGTACCAGCTAAACCAGGAACCATTAGGACTTACTCACACCCAGCCTCCGGCTGCACAGTTGGCTCTGATGATGAAGTCGTCCTCTAGCATGTTGTCAGGGTTGCTGAAGTCAAAGTCTTCATCCAGAGCTGCCACGATATCTGGGTCCATGTCCAGTCGGGGTCCTGAAACAACACATCAGCTGTTTCCACCACCGGAGCATCAGGGTAAATTTACAGGAACTTCCCGACGTGCATGCGTCTCCCAGCCAGATGAGGCGTTTTCAGGAACTCTCAAAGGAACAAGAGCAGAACCAGGAGAGGGAGATGAAGGTCCCACCAAGCCTGAACAGGTGCGTTTAAAGGAGACCACTGAGTCCACTGATCTCAGGCTCAGGGGGAGAGAGGTCCAGAGTCTGGGGGCCACAGCAGCAGATTATCTGTCACCTTTGACCTTTAGCCTGGTGCTGCACAACCAGTAGGCTTTGGTCACTGGACCTCAGGGACCTGCTGGGGGTGTAGGGACTAAGAAGATCACCAATGTAAGATGGTGCTTGTCCATGTAAGGCCCTATAGACCAGAACCAGGATCTTGAGATGAACCCTGAAGTTGACTGGCAGCCAGTGAAGCTGGAGGAGAAGCGGGGTGATGTGGGTGTGTTTGGAGGACTTGGTCAGAAGCCGAGCACAGGCGTTCTGAACCACCTGTACAGTAATCCCTCTCTACTTCGCGGTTCGTTCATCACGGATTCGCTGCTTCGCGGATTTTTTCTTTGGAGCATTTTTCAGGGGGAATTCGCAGATTTGCGGTATTTTTCACTGATTCGCGGTATTTTTCTATGCGAAATATCAAGAAATTCTTGTTTTTTTTCATCAATTTCATCATAAAATGCACTTTTTGTAATAAAACAAAAAAAAACAAGTAAAAAAATTTTTTCTTGAGTTTTACCCCCAAAAAGAGAATCTGATCATACGATAATTCAATAGGGAGCGTGGTTTCACAGACGCGGAAGTGATAGCGTCGGTGAAACGCCGGCTGATCTAGGAAACCCCCGAGTGTTCGAGCGTCAACGAAGTGACTCGGAAATGCCGGGCTTTCCAGAAGTAAGTAAGATAACTTACTATGAGCTGATAGTTCGTTGGATTGATCGGTAGGTTGGAAACTGATCATGAATCTGAAGAAACGATGACTGAGTGGTGAGCTGGAAAGGCGACTTCCGTTTATAGCCGCGGTTTGTGACGTAGGTGCGACGTGGAGGGAATCCCCGCGAGGGGCATGCTGGGAGTCCCTACTTCGCGGATTTTCACCTATCGCGGCCAGGTCTGGAACGCATCTACCGCGATAAACGAGGGATTACTGTAGACGTTTCAGGGAGGTTCTGCTCAGACACGTGAAAAGAGAGTTACAGTAGTCTAAGCGTGAGGAGATGAAGGTGCATGTTACGGTGTCCAAGCTCCTACCTGCCATAAACTGTGTGACGTTACAGTGTCAGTGTGGTCTATGAAACCATGAATATTGATGTAGTGCAACTTGTTAACATAAAAACTAAGCCGTTGTTTGAAAATCTCATGCTTGATCTTTTCCACCCGATTGTTTGAATCCTGATCAGAAATCAGATCACATGACCAGATCAAAGCATCCCTGATCTGAGGTGCTCTACCTGAAACAGGTGCAGCTTTGTTCAGAAGTCCCACCTCTTCCTCGAACTCTGAGGCGAACACTGAAGAGGGCAGGTGGATAGAAGCTTCCTGGTCAGAAAGCACAACAAGGATTAGATCAGTCCTTGTATCACACCAGCCAGCATCACTCAGGTGTGTAAATAAACATGGCTGACAGCTCCCTCTCAGCTGATCAATGTTAATAAAACCAAACTAAATGTAAAACGTGAAACTCCTCTGATAAAGCTCTTATGAAGGTTAGGAAGAAACAGAATGGTCAGAGATACACGACTGGGTCACTACCTGCCGTTCTCTAAACTACAACGTCCTACACGTGACCTTCAGGGCTGAAGTAAGGCTAAACAGTCAACGAGACTCACAGGAACATTCTTGTCTGTAATCTTTTCACACTCCTCATCTTCTTCATGTCGGCGGTGAATCGTGGGTTCAGCTGTGACCAGCTCTGAGGGGCCCGACGCCTCCTTCAGGTGCTGCAGGTAGTCATAATCATCATCGAAGAAAACACCAAACTGTCTCTGCTCCTCACGCCTCTTCTCTGCCTCTGCCTGAAAAACACAAGGTCCTGTTAGAACCACATCAGGTCTTTGGGGACATCTGACAAGGTTTTCTCTGCAGCTGGACCTTAGTGGCAGGCAGGAGGACGTGCTGTGGTGCTGTTTCATCTGCAGCCAAAGGGTCCCTCTGACTCCTGTGGACCAGGTGAAAGGTCACCGCTTTCTTCTTTTCGATGAATGATTTCTTCTTTCGATGAGGCTGGAACAGATTTAGACGACATTTAGTTAGAACATGTTAAATCAGATAAACGCCACCGAGTTAAGATGGCTTATAACAGCTGGAGTTGCTGTCTGAATGAGAGCAGGAGGACGTGAACAAAAAGGCATCTTTTCCTTTCTGAACAAGTTTTCTAAATCTATGCAAAACATTCATGTTTCTGGAGGGAAAAGGAACAAACACGCTTGAGATCGTCATCGACATCCACCAGCTCATCTAGAAAAGCTGAATTAAAGTCATATAAACGAGCGTTAGCTGTTACATACTTGTTGTTATGCTCACCATCTTAGCTGCTGTTAGCTAACACGGCTAGCTTAGCAGGAAAAGGTCTTCTTACCATTTTGTGCTGGAATCACAAACGTCTCCTTCAGCAGCTGACACTGATTTAATGTTTATAAAAACTCGACCTCCGTGTATCTGTTAGACACAGCGACCTTTCACATAAAACACAAGTAACGTCTTTCCACGCTGACGGCGATGCCCGTGCCGGAAACCCGATCCGTAACACGCATGCGCATATTTTACGTCACTTCCTCTTTGCCAACTTTGCGACAGTTACAGACTGCGTTACGTTTAAACCTCCGAATACACATAAATTTATTTATTTTTTATTTATTTTTTAACAGGTTTTATTAACTTGTGGTCGATACATTCAGAAAATACATTCAATATATCCATGGATCACATTTTACAGTTGTTTACAATAGCAATAACATACATGCAACAAACTATTAAACAAAAAAAAACAAGAAATAAACAAAATAGTGACGAAAACATATATAACGTAGAAACATAACACTTAGGGGTCTGCTGTGTCTAAGTTGAAATGATGAAATAAGTTGATGGTCTTTGTTAGTTTGTTGTTCTTCTTTTTTAATTTTTCAATGCTGTTCCAATATTTCATAAGGTCTGTAATTCTGAAATTATAGAAGGAGGGGATACTTTTCTGAAAAATCATTTTATGTAAATAATATTTTGCTAAAATAATGACTAAGTTAATTATGTATTTTTCATTGGATGATAAATGAGGGTTAGTAACAATAAGAAGTATTTCATATTTGCTTAAAGAAATATTTTTTTAACTTTCTGGAAATGAATCTTTGTAAATGGAACCAAAACAAAGTTACATGAAAGCAATCAACAAAAACATGTTCAATAGTTTCTCCCTTACAACCACAAAAAGCACAGATGTCAGAAACATTTGGAAAATAAATACAGATGTTTGCTTTTGACGGGTAATATCTCCGAATACACAGAAATGCATGCTTTTCTCCTCAACGGAGAGCTTCCGGCGATTGAACAAGAGCGCCGTAAAATAGGAAGAATGGCGCCTAATTACAGACTTAAAGGTAAGTACGAAAATTAAAGATGATCTTTTATCATGGTCTACAGCTGCCCTTGCTGCTTGAGGGTACGGACTCAACGTTAGTGTTCTAAAGTTGCATGACGCCTGCGTTGATTCAGGAGGGTGTAACGAGTAATATCAGTGTACAGTGTATACAGTGTAGCATCGTCTGTAATATCGAAATTCTATATATAGATCTATATCTTGGTGTGTGGGCTTATTTTAGATTTTAAAAAATCATAAATACAATATCATATATATTTTTTCTTCTCCTGGCACTCACAGAGCACAGTCGCTTCTGCTTTGCTCCCTTATCTTTTTCTCCCAAGGCTCTTTTTTTCCCGTCTGACTACAGAGCGCTTCTCTGCATTTCCTCTGGAGATCACTATTTTTCAGAAATGGATTTAATTAATTGGTCATTCAACGTGATTGATAAGATTTTTTCTACGATGAGAACGGAGGAGGGGGCTCCCACTTGCCCTCACGGGACACACGCAGCGGGATATATGCTCGATTCCTGGAAGGTGTGGAATGTCATCTGTCTCTCTCAGCTGTCCATTCAGGACTGTATCTGTTTTGTCTATATGTGTGTGTGTGTGTGTGTAATCTTGGTCAGGCTGTTCTGTGGAGTCAAGTTCCTATGCTCTGGTTCGCTGGAGCGCTGGCAATAAAATTATTTCTGATTCTGATATAGCCTACATACATTTTTAAAGATAATTGCAATTGGAGGTAAATGTACCATATTGCTAGCCTGGCAAGCCAGACTAAATAAATGTATTATTTAGTCTGTTCCTTCTGAAGTCTAAAATCATCTCCTTTGTTTTGTTCACGTTCAAGGTCAGATGATTGTTTCCACACCATGCCACAAAGCGCTCCACCAGCTCTCTGTACTCAGCTTCCTGTCCATCTCTGATACACCCGACAACTGCAGAGTCATCTGAGTGTTTCTGTAGATGACAGGTCTCTGATTTGTACTGGAAGTCTGAGGTGTACAGGGTGAAAAGGAATGGTGAGAGTACAGTCCCCTGTGGTGCTCCAGTGTTAATGATCACCTGGTTTGATGTGCAGTTCTTCAGCCTCACAAACTGTGGTCTGTTTGTCAGGTAGTCTTTAATCCAGGCGATAGTTGAGGCCCCCACCTGTGTCTTCTGGAGTTTCTGGCAAAGTACATCAGGCTGGATTGTGTTAAATGCACTGGAGAAATCAAAGAACATGACCCTGACAGTGCTGCCTGCTTTGTCCAGATGACAGTGGGTTGGTTGAAGCAGCTGGATGATGGCATCTTCAACTCCAACTCCATGGCGATAAGCAAACTGCAGCGGGTCCTGATATGTTCTAGTTTGCTTATTCAGGTGGACCAACAGGAGTCTCTCCAGGACCTTCATGATGTGGGATGTCAGGGCAACCGGTCTGTAGTCGTCATTGACTGATGGGCGAGTTTTCTTTGGAACTGGAACAAGGCAGGATGTCTTCCACAGGACTGGAACCTTCTCCTGGGCCAGGCTGAGGTTGAAGAGGTGCTGCAGAATCCCACAGAGCTGCTCTGCACAGGCCTTCAGTACCCTGGGGCTGACACCATCTGGACCTGCAGCCTTGTTCCTGTTCAGTCTCTCCAGCTGCCTCTTCACCTGACTTCTAGAGACAGAGAAGTAGTGATGTGTCGATCGCGAACGAACCGGCTCTAAGAGCCGACTCTATGAAGTGAATGAGGGAGCCGGCTCGTCACTGGTTACGTTACATCACAGTACATGATGAGATCATCCCTTTTACGGATTTCTGACAAATCATACATCATTTCTGAAGGGGGAAAACTCCGGAAAGCTGCTTCAGTTCTCAGACCGGATCTGCTCATAAATAGCTAATGTTAGCTTAGCATTCTGGTACTTCCAGGCCAAGCTCCCTCTTGTTCCTCTGCAACCCGCTGACTTCAGCCCTTCAGTAAAAACCAATGAACACAGCAAAGGCTGGAGCGTCAAACATCAAGTCTTTTTATTGAACGATGCTAAGTAACAACTACAGTGGAAGTGTGAGCTGAGTGGTGCCGCCTGATCCCTCGCAGAAACAGCAGACTCCTCTGAACAGACCTATCGGACGTTCACCTGCAACGAGAGAGAAATCTGCTCAGAGGTGATAGATGGTTCAAGTTCCAGCACAGCTAGATGTCCTCCAAGGTCACCACGGGAACGTCCGTCCACAGCGGACCCTCGTGGGGACGGGAGGAACTCACCACATCATCGATCTTGAGGATGCTGCGGACCGTCTCTGTAGCTAGGGTCAGAGCACTGATGGACACCAGGAGAGGCTGCACCACCAGCTCCTCCAGGATGTTGGAGATTCCTCCCTGTCACAAACAGGTAGAGGTTACCCACACACCTGCAGGGTCACACAAACATCCTCCAGTCATCCACAACTGACCAACCTTGCGGACGTTGATGCCGGCCATCTTGTCTCCATGTGCATGTCTGTTCCTGAGCTCCGTCACCGTGGAGATGGGGTTCAGACCTGCGTTCTCAGCCAGCGTGGAGGGGATCACCTCCAGGGCGTCGGCGTACGCCCGCACACAGTAGGCCTCCATCCCAGCCAGGGTTCGCGAGTACTCTGCCAGACGGACAGCCAGCTCGATCTCTGGAGCTCCGCCTCCAGCTATCAGAGCCCTGAAGGAGGCGTTGACAGAAACACTCAGCGTTTATGTGCTTCGCGTGCATCAGGAGATCATAAAGATGGACTGCTGTTTATTAGGGTGGTGTGTGAGAACGCTCTCCAGCCAAACTGCTGAGACCAACAGGAGCCAATCAGAGCGGAGCGTTCTGAGGTTCTGTTCCTCTGTTCGTTACGCTCCTGCAGGAAGAGCCCGAGCAGGAGCGCCTTTGTCAGAGGGAGGGGCCACTGACCTCTTCTTGACCAGGCAGCGGATCACACACAGAGCGTCGTGGATGGAGCGCTCCGCCTCCTCGATCACCAGCTTGTTGGAGCCTCGGACCACAATGCTGACCGTTCTCCCGGGGCTGCTGCAGCCGGTGATCTGACACAAGAACTCAAGGTTTAGAGCTGAAGTTCTGCTTGAGTGAGCGCTTCTGTCCCGAGCTTACCTTAACCAGTTTGCCAGAACCGTCTAGGTGGACCTCCTCCGCCAGCTCTGCTGTGCCAAGCATCTCTGGAGTGAAGTGATCGACGTGGGCGATGGGCTTGGTGCCGAGAGTCTGAAGGAGAGGAGAGGCTTAAACCCCAGCAGACAGGAAGCAGCAGGAGGAACACTTCCTGGTTCCATTAACTGAACCTCAGGTCTAAATGCTTCTACCACCGGTGGATCAGGCCAACACGACACCCTTGCAGACGCGACATCTTGCGTCTGAAGTTCATAAAAGCTTCCTGTCCTCCTGGGCGGTGTCACACTAGACTCTGCTACTGGCTCATAAATCCCAAGGTCCTCTCTAAAGCCGCGGCGCCACCAGGACCGACTCAGCGCGACTCGTCTGGGTTCGGCGGCCTTCCATCTCTGCTCTGTCCCGAACCGTCCCAGCAGGGAACCAGGAAGGTGTTGGGAACAACTCACCTTGCAGATGAACTCAATGTCCTCCCTCTCAATGTCCTTCACCACCATGATCTTCATTTTGTTGAGGAAGTGCAGAGCGAGGTCGCTTAGTGCATCTCTGCAGCAGGAGGGGTTATGGTCAGGTTTACCCATCACTTCAGTGTCTAACTAACCAGAAGATCAGAGCCCGGTCTCGGTAGCTCCAGTACCTGAGGATGGACTTCTGGATGAGCAGCACGTTGCAGCCCGCTTTCTTGACCTGCTTCACCAGATTGAGAATGTAAGCCCGCTCCTCCCGCAGAACGCGGTCCATCTGGGCGTAGTCCGACACCACGATCTGGTTGTCCATCTGCATCCCAAACAGAGGTCAGGAAAAGGGAACATCTTCATGAATCAAACTTTATTTCACTTTGGGTTTTACTTTTCATACGAGATAAAAAAAACACTGAACAGTTTATTTCTCACCCCTCCCCCGCAGGTCAACACCCCTTCTACGACCCCCACACACAGCTAAAGCAGGACACCTGGCTGAGTCCAGATGCAGTAGATGAAACGCCACCAGCAGTCTGGTCAGTCTGAAGCTGAAGGGAAGCATCTGTCCATGCAGCCTTCCTGCAGGACTGCTCTGGTGCTTACAGACCAAACCCTAACCCACCGTCTGCACACATCTACTGGAGCGGCGTGGTACTCCAGGAGCTGTGGAGGAAACCAGCACACACAACCCACCATAGAAGCTCCTAGCTTCGGGATCCAGAGTTAACGGCTAATGCTAATGCTAGCTGGTCCATGGTTGTGGATGGCTGCTTCCATTACTGGAAGTTCAGGGGAGATTCACAGGAACCAGCCAACACGCACATCTCTCCACCTGAACGGCTGCTTCTGGAGCAGACCTGCTGGCTGCATGTTTTCTACGTGTCCCTGCTCCGACACACCTGATTCTTGCTTATCTCAGAGCAGCAAAGCCTTAGCTTACCTTCTGCTACAAGTCTGCTGAGACATGTTTAGCCACGTCTCAGCCTCGTCCCCGGCTCTGAGGACGGAGACCGACAGCGAGGAGCAGGTTTCCCACATCCTGGTGCTTCTAACAGGTTATCGATTATATTTAAACAAAACTTAAAAACTGAGCTGTAACCAAGCATAAGGCAGCGATGGAGGCAGTGTCTCCCCTCACTCAGCAGCACCTATCTGCTCATATCCACGGTCTCTGACACGCCAACCAGGAGGAAACACCTAACTCAAAGGAAGACTAAGTTTGCTCCCAGCTGACTTGAACATGTCGGTGCGCCCCAGGGCAGCTGTGGCTACATCGTAGCTCATCACCACCAGTGTGTGAATGGATGAATGATGCACTGTAGTGTGAAGCACTTTGGAGTCCTTCCTCTGAGAGGCGCTGTACAAGTGCGGGTCATCCATCATAACATCAATCCGTCAGCCTGGTTCTAGAGATGGGAACTCTGGCTGTAACCGGTTCTTACGGCTCATCACATTTTAGAGTATTTTAGATTAATTCATCAGCAGAAATGTGTGAAAGTGACGATCTACAAACGGACATTAAATGACCTTAAAGGACTAGAGCGTCTGGGCTTGTGTAGCACCTCTAGAGTCCGTTTAGCCTCGCTAAGGGACTCGTCACTGAACCAATCAGATGTGTTCATGATGTAAAACAAGCAGCTGGCTGCTTTGCAGTGTTGGATTAGGTCTTCTGGCAGGGCGTCAGTAACTGCATCCTGGACCCGCCGCTGTGCTACGACTCCTCTCTTTCAAGGTTTCCACTAGCATGTCCTCTGTGAGGATCCCAGCGCCTGGTGTGCACCGCGGGAGCGAGCAATGAGCGCACGCGTTTTTGCAGCCGGGGCGGTGCAGAACGGAGCAGAAACGCGTTTCAACACCGGTGCTGTCCTCTGCTGCTCACATATGGAAGCTCAGATCTGCCCCAGCCCCAGTGTTGTTTAACCCTCATGTACTCACCCGCCTTTACATAAACTGTTTCTGATGCCGCGTCATCTCTAATCTGTGCTGTAACTCGGTCTTCTCTTGCCTAGCTGTCGCGTCTGAAACATCCTCCTGGATATCCCCCCAGAAGAGGATATTGTAACTGGTTAAACTGGGAGAGCCAGCCTCGCTGCACACCCCCTACGTGTATTCTCTTTGGATCTGCACGAATCACGTAGCTGATCCATTTTGGATTCAAAACAGCAAATTTCACACAAAGGTGAGGGAGTTCACTGATTGCGTCTACTGCCTCCTAGTGGCAGGAAACGTGGCTGCCACGTTAACATGAACCTAAACTGCTGCTGAGATGTAAATGTTTTCCATTAAATACGTAGGAGCTATAAACAGGAGCTGTGTGGGGACCAGCACCGAGCCTTTCATGACCGTTTTGTTTCCGTACTTGCAGCAGCAGACCGGTCTCGTTTCACTGAAACACCATTAAACCCTAACCCATCGACAGAGGCCTGGACAGAATACTGGACCGATGCCCTGCACAAGCTCACATGGACCCGGTGCTCCTGAAACCGCAGCTAAAGACCAAGCACACGTTCACATCTGAGCCACTCACATCCGTTTTGGGAGGGGACAAACAGAACTGGATGAGGCCAATCTTTGCCTTCTCTACACGGGTCACACCAGTGTTGGCCAGCTTCTGGGTCAGCACCAGGCCGTCCACCAGCTCACAGTCATCGATGGTCCCTCTGCTCCAAAACACAACACACAGTTCAGCAAAGACACACACTTGTCACGGGGCCCAGCTGGCGAAGGACAACCCACCCCAGCTTCTTGATGATTTTGATGTCCTGCAGGTCGACGCTAGTGGCCGTGGCGGGGTCGATGACCCGCATGACGGCATCCACGCTCATTGGTGCCAGCAGGCTGGAGTACTGCGACACCACCTTGGAGCACAGCGACGTGGTGGCGCTGTTGAGAAGAGTCTCGCGATCGCTCAGCTCTACTGGCCGGCTCATGTCAGTAAGCACCTCCACGCCTTTATCCACAGCCTTCTGGAACGACTCGGAGATGATGGTGGGGTGGATTCCTGACCGACCAGAACAACACCATCTGAACACCACCCCCAAACAAACTAATCCTCTGGCGCTTGGCCTTACCTTTCTGCAGCAGTTTGGAGCAGGCATCCAGCAGCGCTCCAGCAATCACTACAACAGAGGTGGTGCCGTCTCCAGCCTCGATGTCCTGGGCTTTGGACAGCTCCACCAGCTAACAACACACAGGTCAGTCCAGATGAACATCAAACTCATGGGTGGGGTTGCAACTATTACACATGTTGGTGGCACGATTATAGTCTGAGAAATAATGACGTAGCATCAGTCTAACCACATAAATCACACACACATCACACAAGGTAACCCGCAAGTGTCTTGTTACGGTTCTACCTCCGCAGGCCTGGAGGCGTTCTGCTGCGGTCCCTCACTAGAACACGGATCACTGTGTGACTTCTGGGTTTGGACAATATTACCGTATTTTACGGACTATAAGCCGCTACTTTCCCCCCACGCTTTGAACCGTGCGGCTCATAATGAGGTGCACCTTTACTGAAGATGTTCCTCCACCTGCAGGGGGCGCTTCAGCAGAAAGTAAACAGGTGGAAGTCAAAAGTGGAAATGGAAGAACGTGCCCATTTTAATTTAGCACGTGCAAGCAGCCGGCACCACGAGGAATGTTTTTCACATCCATACTCCCTCATCATGGAAACTACACGTATGAGTTCATATGATGACACATTTAAACTGAAGGCATCGATCTGGCAGTACAGGAGGGAAACAGTGCTGCCGCACGTAAGCTTGGCATGAATGAATCCACGGTTCGGCGCTGGAGACGGCAGCGGGAAGATCTCATTCAAGCCAGTTTCACCCGGGGATGATGACAGCAACACGGACAGCGACACAGAAAAGGTATGTGACGAAGCTCTTCTGAGGCTGTTCAACTCCGACACTGAAGAAGAGGACTTTAATGGCTTTAGTGCGCAGGAGGAAGATGAGAGCGAATGACTTCTTCTGGTAGGCAGGTGTGTTTTATTTACTAACCAGGCATGTTTTGTGTGCAGTTTTATTTTCTAACCATCCAGGGCTAATTAATGCTGAGTCAGCGCTGTTCTATTCTTCTAAACATGCAGATTACCGGTAATAACGTGTCAGAGCTGTTTTTATTTTATAACATCCAGAAATATGAATGCTATCAGTGCTGTTTTCTCCACTTGCAGGCACGTTCACCCGTGTTTATAACTCGTTTTGATGAATTAAAACAACAAAGAAAAACCTCAGTGTAGCGTCTTTCTGTCTAATCATCTTGTGTTATGGCCGTACATGCGCTGTGCGCCGGAGACCTGCATGTGGCTGCTGCGCCGCGGCTTGTGTTCGAGTGCGGTGTGTGTGTGTGTGTAGAAAACCTTTTTTTTTTTGAGGCGCTCTATAGTCCGGAAATTACGGTAGTTATATTTGCAGCTCATTTAATGCTCATTGTGTTCTACGGCTGATTGACTAGATGTTATTGTGCCGTGTATCCTGTGCTAGCCAGATTTAGCACGTCTGTTTAGAAGAATGTTCCCGCCCAGAGGAAAACAGCACAAACCCAAAACTACGTTTCTCACTCGGAAAAGGACAACTGTGTGGAAAAGATGTGGGCGAGCAGGGTGCGGATGAATTAAACGCCACATACAGGTCCTTCTAAAAAAGTTAGCATATTGTGATAAAGTTCATTTATTGTCTGAAATGTACTGATAAACATCTAAAATAATTAGCATATCATGAAAAGGTTCTCTAAACGAGCTATTAACCTAATCATCTGCATCAACTAATTAACTCTAAACACCTGCAAAAGATTCCTGAGGCTTTTAAAAACTCCCAGCCTGGTTCATTACTCAAAACCACAATCATGGGTAAGACTGCCGACCTGACTGCTGTCCAGAAGGCCATCATTGACACCCTCAAGCAAGAGGGTAAGACACAGAAAGACATTCCTGAACGAATAGGCTGTTCCCAGAGTGCTGTATCAAGGCACCTCAGTGGGAAATCTGTGGGAAGGAACAAGTGTGGCAGAAAACGCTGCACAGCCAGAAGAGGTGACCGGACCCTGAGGAAGATTGTGGAGAAGGACCGATTCCAGACCTTGGGGGACCTGCGGAAGCAGTGGACTGAGTCTGGAGTAGAAACATCCAGAGCCACCGTGTACAGGCGTGTGCAGGAAATGGGCTACAGGTGCCGCATTCCCCAGGTCAAGCCACTTCTGAACCAGAAACAGCGGCAGAAGCGCCTGACCTGGGCTACAGAGAAGCAGCACTGGACTGGTGCTCAGTGGTCCAAAGTACTTTTTTCAGATGAAAGCTAATTCTGCACGTCATTCAGAAATCAAGGTGCCAGAGTCTGGAGGAAGACCGGGCAGAGGGAAATGCCAACATGCCTGAAGTCCAGTGTCAAGTACCCACAGTCAGTGATGGTCTGGGGCGCCATGTCAGCTGCTGGTGTTGGTCCACTGTGTTTTATCAAGGGCAGGGTCAATGCAGCTAGCTATCAGGAGATGTTGGAGCACTTCATGCTTCCATCTGCTGAAAAGCTTTATGGAGATGAAGATTTCATTTTTCAGCACGACCTGGCACCTGCTCACAGCACCAACACCACTGCTAAATGGTTTACTGACCATGGTATGACCTGAACCCCGTAGAGAACCTGTGGGATGTTGTGAAGAGAAAGTTGAGAGACGCCAGACCCAACACTCTGGATGAGCTTAAGGCCGCTATCGAAGCATCCTGGGCCTCCAGAACACCTCAGCAGTGCCACAGGCTGATCGCCTCCATGCCACGCCGCACTGAAGCAGTCATTTCTGCTAAAGGATCCCCGACCCAAGTACTGAGTGCATAACTGAACATAATTATTAGAAGGTCGACTTTTTTTGTATTAAAAACACTTTTCTCTTATTGGTCGGATGAAATATGCAAAATTTTTTAGAAGGACCTGTGGGTTAGGCAGGATAGCTTTTCTCTGCTTCTCTACGATGATTGGCTTAAACTTCTTCACCACGCCGCTGAGTCGTGTTGTCAGACATGAGTACCACACGTGCATATTTGCCACAGAACTCAACTCACGTATCCGCCACTTTTAGCGTAGTTTTAGAGGGGTGAGTCGTACCAGCGTAAATAGATGCCAAATGGCGTACTGGCTACGCAAAATGCGTACAGGTTGGCAGGTGTGCTAAACAATCCCCCCCCCCCCCCCCCAAAAAAAAAACAACAACAGGCAAACAAATGGAGACCAGATGGAAAAAATATCGGTTGTTAATATCGGCCCGGTTTCATTTATCGCACAGATATGTTGAAAACATGACTAACATCGTCCGATACTGATGCTGATTTATCGACCATCCCTAACCGTCATAGTTGGTAAATAAGATTATATGCATATATAAACGATTAATCGTAAAAGATAATCGACAGATTAATCGAGTATGAAACTTATCGTTAGTTGCAGCCCTAGGAATAATCAAAGATGTTTTTTCGGTGTTCCACATCTTTAATTACATTTGGCTTAGAGCCTGTTTAGAGTTTCTGTAAAAAGACAAAAACTTGACAGCTGGTCAGCGTTAGCTCTGAAGGATGGATACACCGCCATGAAGTAAGATGCTAACTTCCTACTAGTGCAGTTGTTGTTATGAATATTACTGATGAATGAAATCTCTACTTGTTGATATCTTTTCTAGTTTCATCAGTAAGAATATTATCTGGACAAGGATAAATTATATTATTGTTATGCAGAACATGAATTACAAAGAGGTGTAGCTGATTAAATATTAAAATGGCTTGCCATACATGGAGCAACACAGTATGAACCATTGTTCACTGGATTGTTCTAATATTACTGTTAATCTGTTCAGTCACTAACCTAATCTGACTCAGCTGGAGCTAATCTGTCCGCGTGATGATGACAGAGATGATAAATTAGGAGTGTTGCAACTTTTTTCTGCCAGCTCTGCAGATGGACAATCATAGTTCTGAATTTCTCTTTTAGCAACTTTGGGAGTCTAAACTATCCCTCACAGGAGACTTGAAGCACTTCCTAGGTGGGCGAGGAGCGGTCCCGGTGGTTGTTGATACTGGTTCTGCTGCACACATCGTTCACGTTCACTTTGGCCCGCTAATGTGGTGTTGTAGACACCTTTACAGAGGGTTATCCACAGCATTTCAGAACGTGGTTAATAGTCAGACCGGCTAATCCTTGCAACACTACTCTTAAAGCAGGAGAAGAACTGAGTGTGTTTGGCTTGTTACCATCTTGGCTGCAGGGTGGAGCACCTGCATCTGCTTCAGGATGGTGGCTCCATCGTTGGTGATGGTCACGTCACCTTTCTCATCCTGGATCTGAAGCACAGAACAGTTATTAACATCCCGTCGAGGCGCAGATCAGACCGTGTCTGTTCACACACCATCTTGTCCATCCCTTTGGGTCCCAGACTCGTTCTGATGGCGTCAGCAACAGCTGTCAATTAAAGAGATGATGTCAGACCCACTCCTCAAAAACCAGACGGTTTAATTATGAATTCATCTAGAAATCCAGGGCTTTAGCTGAAGAGGATGACTAAAATCAGCACTAGGGTTGCAATGATTATAGATGTTGGTACGATTATAGTCTGAGAAATAATCACAGTTTCACGATTATTTCACATGAACTGATTTCCCATCTGTATCAACACAGATAAACCACACACACATTCTATAAGTTACTGATTAAAGACACAATTACTTTCCATAAAAGGGTTTAAACCCCTGAAATATCTGTTGTTCCTTTTCAGAGAGTTTGTTTAGAAAAACTCACTCTACTACCGATGTGTAGTGTTGATGTTTCATCTCCACAAATAACACAAGCCTGGAGGAGTTCTGCTGTGTGGTGGAGTTGCTAATGCTAACAGTTAGCTTCTACTAGCTGAGGCGTGGACACTAAACCAGCAACAGCCTTCCCTGTCGTGAGTCCAGATGGGTGAGTCCATGAATGTTAGTGACAGGGTGACGTAGATCTGTCAGGATTTTCTATCCTAGAGTTTCACCGTCTGTTTTCTATCAGAAGCTGCTGCAGGAGGTAGGTGTAGGAGACTATTAAAGTTCTGCCTGAGTGAAACCTTCAGTGACTGATTATCACAGATAGTGGCTAGCTGAGATATGGCGATATAAAGTCATGTTTCTTGTTTAAAATGAGATATTTTAAAAATATCGATTAATTGCCCAGCCCCAGTCCTGTATCAGTGCAAAAATTATATTTCTACAATGAACACCAGCAATCTTAAATGATTAATATTAATTATATTATTGACATTTATTTATTTCCTATGTAGAAGAAAACATTTTCAGGGGCCGTTTACTTCCCATTTAGTATCTGATCCGTAAATCATCAGTTCCTGTGCGGGGTGGGTGGTGGTGACGGGGTCGTTGGGCACCTTCTGCCCAGGGGCCCTGCCCTAGACTACACACTGATCCATCATCAGAAGCACAGACAACGCTTAAGGGTTCGTCTGCCTTACACAATTTACACAAAATAAAATTAACACGTTTGAGACCCTGAGGAACACCGAAGATGACAGTTACACGGAGTAAACTGACCGGCTCTACGGCCTTTTACCATCAGTTCCCATCGGTGTCCCAGCCTACCTTTGGCAGCAGAAATGTTGCTGAAGCGAATCTGGGCCGGTTTGTCGCGGTCCACGTACGCCCCTCCTTTGTTTCTGCCTCCGTTTGAGGCTTTCGGTGCCGCCATAGCTTCGGGCATCGCTCCTTAATACACAATGGTAAATGTTACCTAGAGTCTTTAGAGCTGGACTGATGGAGCCCCGTGGCTAAAACCGCAAGGTTCGGCCGAGGATGGACTCAGATTGAGGTGTCTCCACAAGGAAACTTCCAGAGAACCCAGCGGCTGAAGCCGGAAAGAGCAAACGGGAGACGGCTGTGACGGCTTGACGCAGCTAGATGACGTATCAGGCATTAAGCGTCGATGATCAGTTTGAAGCAAATCATCAGCAATGTGTTACATTACATTATAATTTAATACATTTATTTTTTTACCATAAATGTATGCTTAGTAAATAAAATAAAACATAATATAAAATGTTATTTCAATATTCTTGTTGGTATCTGGGTTGATTCGTTACGTCTGACGCGACTGACGCAGGCGTGAAGGCGACCTGAGTCGCTGGTAATCGATTCAGATATTTTTTCTTTTTATGCTTGCTAATTAAGCCCTTCTATTACAGGTATGTTCGTTTCATACGTTTTCATTTCGCGTACTTTGTCGCCTCATTTAAATGTTCAAAACGTAAATATCAAGTTCCTGTTAGCTAGTTAGCTGTCTCAGAGCTGGGAAGTGGCTCGTGCTCGTGTAGCATCAGGTAAATTTTAATTTAATTTTTATTAGTTTACATACATACAAACTCTCACGAGGAAACGACAGTACAACATCGCTTGTGCTCTAAACCAGAATTTAGAACTAAAAGATCTCTTACAATTCAACAAAACAAAACAATGTTCACACACACACACACACACACACACACACACACACACACACACACACACACGCACACACACACACACACACACACACACACACACACACACACACACACACACACACACACACACACACACACACGCACACACACACGCACACACAACTGCCATAAAGAAAAGAAAAAAACCCAACATTTTCAAGGCCATATTCTCACTTATTTCGAATAAATTTCAAGCAGTGTGAATCTGTTCTATGAAAAAAAAGCTTTCTGGTTATCAAAGTTTTGACGCATTCTTTAAAAGGATAAGTACTGGTTCATATGTTCACATATCTGGTCAGCATCCTTGCATGAGTCTTTTAAAAGAGCTAAAGATGTATACAGTGATATCAGTTCAACCTTTAGGACGTTTAAGGAAGTATTTTCATTACGCCATTTACATTTATGAAGGTGGTATTTCGATGTAATATATAAAGAATATAATGGAAAGACCATCTTTGAGACGCTTTCTGATTTAGATAACAAATTCCGTCCAAAAATTGTAAGATCTCTTATTAACCAATGATTCAGTTTTCTAGACATCATATCAATTTGATCTTTCACATTTTCTGTTTCTCTAATTTTAATATCTTTGTTTAAGTAAATTCCAGATACGTAACTTCTCCTTTCACTGGAATTGTCTTCATATTGGTTTCCAAACAATCAGAAAGAGGTACAATTTCACATCTCTTCAGATTTAGGTTCAAACCTGATGCCTTTGAAAAAACTGAAATCACATTTAGAGCTTTCTCCAATATTGATTTATCCTTCAAAAAATTACTGTGTCATCCGCAAATTGACTTATCCTAAATTCTGTATCAAATATGTTTATGCCTTCTATGTCCGGATGATTCACAGTTAGGTGAGCCATCATTTGCATCATTTGCTGCAAAGAATAAATCATTTTGGAGAAAGTGGGTAACCTTGCCTAATTCCGCAGGATACATCTATTCCAGGGGTAATACCTGGGTTGAGAGAAATTAACTATAAATCTGATTAGAAAATAATTTAATTATTTTGCAAAATTTGTTTCCAAATCCAAAAAGTTCCATAGTTCTAAGTAAAAAGTCATGTTCTATTGAATCAAATGCTTAAAAAAAACAATGAATAATACCAAACTTTCTGTGTTAATAAAGGATCGGTAATCAATCATGTCTAATATTAGTCTTATATTGTTATACATTTGTTTACCTTTAATAAACGCTGACAGACTTTCATCAAATTTTGCTAAGATGTCCCTGATGCTGTTTGCATGTACTAAGGCTAGTAACTTGTAATCATTACACAGAAGTGTAATGGGTCTCCAGCTATCTAACAAAAACAGATTTTTGTTTGGTTTCGGCAGTTATTAGAAGTTATTAGACCTGTTTTCATTGTTGGAGATAATTGCTCATTTTTTAAACAATCCACAAAAGCATTAAGTAACATATCTTTAATATCTGGCCAGAACATCCTATAAAATTCAATAGTTTGGCCATCTATTCAGGCGATTTACCATTTTTCATTTGTTTCAGAGCAATTTCTATTTCAGCTAAATTTAAATCTTCTAACACTTTTTTATCTTCCTCATTCAATTTTTTACCTGTTCTTTAATCATGTCAAAAATATCTCTGTATTCTCTTTCGAAACGTTTTGCTTGTATAGTTTAGCAACTAGTTAAGTTTGCAGCCACAAACAAAACGTAGCGGGAAAACAGGTAAACAGAACTGATCTGTGTTTTAAAAAAGAACTACAGCATGGAATTAGAGAAGCGACACAGCAAGAACACACCTAAGATGTTCCATAGTTAGCATTGAATAAGTGAATTTCTTTAGCTATTTGGGTTGGGTTTTCAATGATGTTTTGATCTTTGTTTAATTTGGTTATCTTTTTCTTCGTTTGTCTTCTTTTCTCTAGGCTATAAAAATATGATGAATTTTTTTCCCCCTTGCTCAATCCACCTTGCTTTAGATCTCACATATGCACCTTTCGCCTCTTCCAGGTATAAATCATCTAATTGTTTTTATAAAGATTTTAAGCTTTCTGCCTCTTCTGTGGTTACATCAAGCTTACCGCTTATTAAATTGATTTGTTTCTATTATTTTTTTCTTTTTACTTATGAGGCCGAGATTTACTACTACTTAAGGCCGATATTTTCTTTCCGGTTTCTATAGCTAACTGTTTAACACTAAATTTGAACCATTCCCATTTACTTACGTTCGACATCTCCATATCTTTAATTTCTAATTGAATATTTTTAACTTGGATACCAAATTCCCCATTCTTTAATAAATTGTTATTACATTTCCAAATGTTTACCTGCTTTTCTTGTTTAATTACAACTAATGAAAGACTTATTAAACAATGACCCGTAAGTGGGGTTGTTTGGTTTTCACGTGTAGTTATATATGTAGTTATTTTTTGAGAGACAAGCCAATAATCCAATCTTGAGCATAATCTGTTGTTTGTTGGACCGAACCAAGTATATTTTTTCATGTTTGAGTTAGTCATCCTCCAGTAATCAAGCAAATCAGTTGACATACTAAAATCACAAAGAATACCGTCGTATTCCGGTTGATTCCCTCTCGGTGGTTGCCTATCCAGCCATGAGTTAGGTGCCAAATTGAAATCACCTCCTGTTATAACCTGATCAGTGCTATGTGTAGTTCTCCACTGTTGAATTCATTTACTTAAATTTGTTATCATGTTTCTATTTAGAGACCTATTATTGTATCCATATACATTAATAAGAAGGAGCTTTTGTTCGCAAAACTCTACTATTACCATGAACCTCTTCATCTCTTTTATGATCAATAACATTGGCAGCAAAATTATTAAATAAAATCATTACCCCCGCCGAGTGAGCAGCACCATGTGAAAAAAGAAAATACCATCTCCCCACTGATGTTTCCAGAAAGTTTCATCATCACTACTGGAACGTGTCTCTTGTAAAAACAAAATGTTTGCCTTAATTTCTTTTACGAAATAAAAAAACGGCCTTGCGTTTCACTTTGTTTTTTAAGCCTCGAACATTTAAAGAACTTATTTGAACAAACATTTAAAGGTAAAAAGATCAAGAAAACACAAGAACAAATGAAGCTTTTTCCTTCTACTCTGATTCTCTAGAAAAATGAAGACCTGTTTCTAGCGGGAGTAAGCATAAAGTCCTACTTATCCTGTAAATACAGTATTCAGATTGTCATTGTGAAAAAAAACTTTCTTTTTTAAATTTAATTAGGAACCAGAACTTTTTACCTACCTCCAGATTTACCTACGCCATTCCACTTGTATTATTTCTGCATGTACCTTACGGGTCGATTCTTTTGCCATCTGCTATAGCAAACCCGTCTCTCAGGAATGCTCTTCTGCCGTTGTTCCGAGCCTCCAGCACCTTGGGCCACAGCTTGATCCGAGCTTCCCTATCCTCTTTGGAGAAGTGCTCTTTAAAGTTTATGTGCAGTTCTTTGCAGACCCTGGCCTCCCTGGACTTCCTCCACGCTTCATCCCTCACCGTCCTCAGGCTAAACTGAATGATGATCTGTCTTGGCAGCTTGTTGTTTGCAGCGTCGCCCTTCTTCCTGATTCGATGTACTGTATCCACCATGAGCTGCAGCTTTTCCACGGACACAGGAATCACTCTCGTCTGGATGCCAATCGCTCTCCCGTGTATTTTCATCCTCTTTTTCTGCCAGGCCAAGTTGTCTGAGGTCCCATCTTCTTGGGTATCTTGAGTTTTCCAGACGTCTTTCCTCCAGTTCTTTGTTTTCCTTCGTTTAAGCCTCCATCTTTGTTTTGAGCTTGTCTGTTTCCTTTTTGTTTTCGTCAGTTGCCTTTGTATTTGCCTCTATCCTGAGGACAAAAGCTACCAGATTTTTGTTTAGGTCAAATCTTTCTTCAGATCTTTCTGTAAAGGCCAGCAGGGCTTCATAGATATTTCACTGCTCACCTGTTTCCCGGTAGCTTTATTTTTCAGTTTTTTTGGATTGGGCCTTTTACTGGCGTGTGATCACCCGTGGGTCTTGCTGCTATCTGTTGATGCTCCCTCTCCTCCATGTCTTCATCTGCACATGCTTCTTTCATTGCCGCGAGGTTGTAGTCATGGTCGGAAAGGCTACCTGTTAGCTCCGCCATGTTAGTCATTTGATGTTTTGCGTTTGCTACTTTATCTGTCCAATAACTGCAAAAACTACGTTCCAGGGGTTCCGCTTTCCTTTCAGTTCGCTCTGAATAACTTTATCAGAGAATTACTTCTCAGGACATTTAAAACCCGCCGTTTTATCACACCTGCCAAGTTTCCACCTGCTCACTCCGCCATCTTGAATTCCCCCTGTAGCATCAGGTAAATGATCAGGTGCTGCTTTTACCCCAGCAACAGAGCCAGAGGGGTCATGTTAGGATATGCTAACATTTATCCTGACCGTGGGAGGTGTAGTACTTTTCTAACCACAGCGAAATTATTAGCAACAAACCTGGTTCCCCGTTTTGGGCCGACTGAGCTACGCTTCCAAGCTTTGAGTGTGTGGCTTTGTTTATTTATTTATTTTTACATATTGTGTCATGTGGCAGGTCCCTTTTTCAAACGTCTTCAGGAAGTTTTTAGTTATTAATATTGTCAGTAAACTTTCAGACGTAGGTCAAATATAGTGGATATGCTGGTGAACAGTGACAGTATGAGTGTACACGTTGCTCCTCCTGCAGCCTCTCATCATGCTGCCCCTCAAGGAGAAGGATAAGCCCATCGTCCAGAAGCTGCTTGCAGCTGGCTGCTGCGCACGCTGCATCCTCAGATTCTGCTGTCTGAGTGTTCAGGCTGCCTATCGACAGCCGGCACAGGTAGGCGACGGAGCCGGTCCTCCTGATTCTAATGTGTTCTGCCTGGAATCTATGGGTGAGCTGCTGACTGATCCTTCCTTGTGTTCTGCAGGAGACGATGAAAGAGCTTAAAGCTTTTATCACTGTAAAAGAAAACACCAAGCATCAGGAATCAGTCGCTCTCCCCTCCACCCAGGAAAACAATGGGTCTTATGATGCAGCTGCATCAGAAGCACCTGCAGACCCCCCCAGTAAAAGAGCTAAACTGGATCCCAGTGAGACTGCTGCTCAGACAGGAGAGTCTGCTGCAGGCCAACTGGAAGAGTCCCGTGTGTGTGTGGTGTGTTTGGGAATCCTGCAGCATTTATGTGGCACAGAACAGGCAACAAAGGTGTGTGTGTGCGTGCGTGTGCATGTGCGAGCCCGCGCAAGGACACAGCAGCATGTTGTACTGACAGCAATGTGTTTCTGGTGTGTTTTTTCCACAGATCTCAGAAACAGTCAAGAAAGAAAAATATGAGTTTGACACGCTGGTGTTGTCTGTGTCCCTGCCTGCTCAGCTCTGTGTTCGTGAGGTCTGTGTGTGTGTGTGTGTGTGTGTGTGTGTGTGTGCGTGTGCGCTTGCATGTTTGTGCTTGCATGCATGTCTGTATGTGTGTGTGTGTGTGCATGCATGTTTGTGTGTGTGTGTGCGCACGCGTGTCTGTATGTGTGTGTGTCTGTGTGCATGCATGTCTGTATGTGTGTGTGTGTGTGTGCATGTCTAGATGTGTGTGTGTGCATGCATGTGTGTGTGTCTGTGTGCATGCGTGTCTGTGTGTGTGTGTGTGTGTGTGTGTGTGTGTGCATGTCTAGATGTGTGTGTGTGCATGCATGTCTGTATGTGTGTGTGTGTGTGTGCATGTCTAGATGTGTGTGTGTGCATGCATGTGTGTGTGTCTGTGTGCATGCGTGTCTGTGTGTGTGTGTGTTTGTGTGCGTGCATGTCTGAGCGTGCGTGTGTGTCTGTCTGTATGTGCGTGTGTGTGTTTGGGGCCATTTCTGATGTGTGAGCTAATGTTTTCCACTGGTGCTGATGAGAGCGTTTGTCCTGCAGCATTCCTGTTGGCTCCATGTGAAGAAGGAAGTGAGGTGAGTCCACGCTGACCTGTTGGCCGTCTGATTCTTTAGACCTGATGAATCCTGTTCCGTGTTGTTTAAGGGAGAAGGGTCTGGTACTTGATAAGGACGATGTGATCCAGGTGAAAGAGGCTTTCAAGTGGATCATGCAGGGTTTGGTTGCAAAGGAGCTCAAAGGTGTTGCCGTGGTTTCCAAGGTAAGTGAAAATCCAACCGCAGAAGGCGGGGCTTCTGGCTAACCTTTACCTGCTTGTCTTGTTTATGACTCTGCCTTTTAAATGCTAATTGTATTATTGTTTGCTCATTGGGAAATATTCCATTGGTCAGTCAGGGTTTAATGAGATGTAGAGCAGGTAATTGTTGGATGTTCATCTACAGCTGGTTTCTAATGAGGAGGTGAAACAGAAAGCACTCAGGTGTCTTGTGCTGCACAGGAAATATGAGCTGTTTACCATAATTAACCCTCATCTGTCATCCTGTGTGTTTCAGAGCATGTTTGAGATCGGCCTGGAGTTCATTCACCTGGAAACCGATTCTGACTGCCACTTCTTGTGAGTCCTCAGCTATCATGAACACACGGAAAGGCAGGAAGTTTCAAAAACACTTAATGTGTGATGGGGATGGTGGTGATGGCAGTGGTGAGGTTAATAATAATGGTGGAGAAGTTGATGATGATGATGGTGATGAAGATTATACTAATGTTCTACAAGCTGACAGGTGTGATGTAATTCATGCTGAGCAGCTCCTTTCTTCCTGCAGAGCCAAATCCTGCCCCGACTGCTTCAGACCCACTAAGAATAAGCAGGTGAGCAGCGCGTTAACATCATTGTTAGTACCGTTACGGATGCCGTGTGCACCGCTGTATGACCATTTAGACTGCATGATCATGAAATCTGCAGCAAAAATGAACAACAGGTCGTCCAAGGCCAGTGCTGAAGTCTAACATGAAGCCGTCTCATCGCTGGTCATTTGTTTTATCCCAGTAGCTGCTGGTTTTGCACCAGTTACTGGGATTTAACTGCATAAACTTGACTAGTTCAGTTCATGTGAAGAAAAAAGTTGCTAAAAGCCAGAAAATCAGCTGATGGTCGAGTGTAGGGGTAGAGCCCCCATCCAGCATGTTTTAGTTGTTTCCTTGCTCCTACACACCTGTTCAGCAGCTCCTCTAGCTCTGCAGAGGCCTGCTGACTAAAATCAGTTGTGTTAAAGCAGGGAAACAACTAAAACATGTGGATGGTGGCCCTGCAGGGACCCGGGTTCACCACCCCTGCTCCAGAGCTCGTTAACAGACCCGTGTGTTTGTTTCTGCAGTCTGTGTTCACTCGTATGGCTGTGGTCAAAGCTCTGGAGAAGATCTCTGATGCCACGTTTCTGCAGTAAGGACCTCCTGGATGAGATCTTCCTATAGAGTGTCTGGTGTGATCAATGCTCTGTTTTCCAGACATTATCCTTGTCCTCCACCTCAGCCGGCCAGCTGCTGCCTCCCTCTGGATGTCCAGTGTCTCCACATGTCTGTCTTCATAGCAGGTAGCACTGGTACGGGAGCACTGATGTAAATCCATCTGGTCTAGGTTGTATAACTCCTTGTGTGTTCAGGCAGGTACAACAAGTTCTGCCGTAGCCTCCCTCAGACGCCCTGGGTGATTGATGGTGAGAGGAAGATGGAGTCGTCGGTGGAGGAGCTGATCGCAGCACCCATCCTGTCTGCCTTCAGAGCTGATGGTGAGTCACGGACCAGACCGGTGCTACTCACAGCACAACGCCACCAGGAATGGGTTTCCTGTTACTGATGTTGGTGTGAACAGCTTCTCCTCCCAAACACGTCCGCTCACTCGTTCTTCTGTTCTCACGCGGCAGGATTTAACTTCTCCTCCTCGGGCCGAGAGGACGTGGATGTCAGGACTTTGGGAAACGGTGAGAAATGTGTAAGATGTGATGACTTGACCTTTAACCTTCAGCTGCATCCGGCTGAAGGCTTCACAACCCCTCCCCACATCACAGCTGAGATAAACGCACATGATCAGAGTCAGTCTTGTTCCTGCTGAGCCACCGTAGCCACTAGGAGAACCAGGGGACAGACACGTTCCTGAGTTCTCTACAGCGTCCAGACTCAACCACGTTTGCTTTCATCGGTTGATTCTTTTCTCTGGCAGGACGACCTTTCGCTATGGAGCTGCTGAACCCCCACCGGTCCAGACTCACCAAGGTGGACATGAAGCAGCTGCAAGAGGTGCTGAGTGTCTTTAGTCCATCTCCTTTCTATGTGGACTCACAGGTGTGAGGACTCCATTCAATTCAAGTTTATTTATGAAGCGCCAAATCCCAACAAGAGTCGTCTCAAGTCCCCTCACACAGTAAACATCCCAGTAAGGTCAGCTCGTTTAGCCAGTCAGTAACAGGTTTCCTGTATAAGGAACCCAGCAGGTCACATCAGAGTATTTACACACACACACACACACACACACACGCACACACACACACACACGCACACGCACACACGCACGCACGCACACACGCACACACACACACACACACACACACACACACACACACGTACATCATGACTAATTTAACTACACTGAACTGCTTTAGTAATAATGGAATCTCGTATTCTGGACTAAAATAAAGAAACGAGCTAAATCATCACATATGTGTGGCATCAAGGAGCATCTTCTGAGTTCAAACACAGGGATGGAGCACAATGTTCACACCTGAACAGTATCAGGATTAACTCTCAGAGGCCTGCAGGTATCCTGTTTTATGAGCAGAGCGCTGAGAATCCGCTTGTTAGGAGCGCTAAACGTTATTTTGCCGCTGCCGTGCGGAGCGGTAGGGAAACACGTTTCAAACACGGAACCGAGTCCGGCTACCGAACCGAGCAGAATTCTGATGACATCACACCGATGCGCGAAGGTGCGGGATCCAACCCACAGGAGAGGAGGGAGAGAGGAGGTGAACAGCGAGTTGATCGACTGAACTGATGTCTTTGAGCAAAAGTGCACACCCCCACACCCCCAACGGTTTAGACACGGCGCTCATGCAGGTGTCTCTTTCCGTTCCGACGCTGCTTCATGTGATATTTGTAATTTATTAAGCCTATAATTTGTTTTTACTCAGTAACGGATATGATTTAAAATGTAGCGAATTACAATTCATTTTAAAAAACTTACTCAAGTAAAAGTAAAAGTACAGCTTTTAAAAACGACTTCAAAAGTATAAATATACAAAAAAGCTACTCAATTACAGTAACATGAGTAAATGTAATTAATTACTTTCTCACCTCTGCACACACACACACACACACAGGTGTGTGGCCTTGGTCCGGGTCCTGCCCCGGTGGGGATTGTTCACACACACTTTTCAGGAACACGGACACCCCCGAGCATGTGGGCGGGGCAAAAGACGCGAAGTCCATGGTGTCTCCCTTAAACGAAACAAAAGCAGCCGTGAGCAGTGTTGCGTTGGAGGCTGTTGTTGCATCCAGACTGCCGGTCCGGTCCGGTCCTGCCGGTCCGGTCCTGCCGCCGGGCAGCTCAAGCCTCGGCGGTGCTGTCAGTGTGTGTGTCCGTTCCTCACAGCACATCTCTGGGAGGGATAGCTTCAGTCAGAGATGTTTACTCGTCAGTATCCAGAATAACGACTCACACATGCTAGATACCCCCACCAATCAGAGGCTCCCATTATTGGTAGGTGTGAATTTGAGCCGCCCAATCAGTCGACTGTGGGTGTGTAGAGCCAGTTCAGCCTGAAGCCGACCGCCTTGGCAGAGGGCTGAAAAAACGCCCGGTTGAGCACGGGAAAGAGACCAGGCTACCCACACATGAACACCTTCTGCCACACCTGGGCGTGGTGGGGCTGGCCCTGATGCCAAAGCACCGCTGAGCCCCAGCTAGCTGCCCCGGGGCTCAGTGACGGGAGCCAGGCTGCCGAGCACAGGCGCTGCCGGTCCCTCCGACCACCAGCAGCAGTATTCTCTGGCAGGAGCCGGGATCAAACCTGCCACCAGACAGCCTGCTCTAGCTCCTGAGCTGCTGCTGAAGAAGAACATCTCACTTTATGAAAAGTTCTGGTTTCTCATGTTTACACAGGCCAGACTGTAAATCTGTCATTCAGTCTGGCAACGCCCCATTTACGGCTCTCTGTCGTGGGGCGGGCCTACTGTCGTCTCTCAGTCGATCTCCGCGTGCTACTGGACGATGAGCAACGTGACGTACTCACCATGACGGACGCCAGTAAACGAGGCGGTCCGCTGCTGAAGAAGGTGAAAATACATCTTTTTTCTAAGTAAAGCACGCTCCTGGTTCTGATAAAGCCCAAGTCCTGATGGTCCAGAATGAATGTAAAAGCTGTTTCTAGCGAGCTGTCGCCATCTTGTTTCATTCTGTTGCATCATCCCGCCCACCACACGAACAGAGGGCCCTGATCATTAGCCCACAGAGCAGATAGAGCACATGAAAGCCCTCTGGAGAGCTGTGGCTGGCCAGCCAGAATGCTGCTATGGGCTGCGGAGGTTCCAGTGGAGCGTTCCTAGACCAAGCTCTGGTCCAGTTCACTAGGCTGCGTTAAGCTGGCACCAACCCCATGACCTTTGGGTTTGGGTAGCATTGAGAGCTACAGTTAGGGTTTCAGATCAGTGATTAGTTATATCATGAAGCCTCATGCTCCAGCCCGAGCCCTCAGGTCCACCCACCAGAACCTTCTAGAAGACCCGAAGACCAGATGTAAAAGTGGAGGTGATTGCTGCTTCCAGGCTTGGGAATGATCTTCCTTATCCGTACGCAGCGATGACAGTCTGGACACGTAAACACAGCTGAAGACCCTTTTATTTAACCGAAAGCTTTTATTTTCTTATTTGTATTCATTTCTAGTTACGCATCATCATAATTTTATGATCAGCTTTGTTTTGGATCTCCATGAAGCTCTTTCTGTCTGTACAAGTCAGATGTACTTATGTACTTCCATCCACCCACCTCTGGTACGGGCCGACCCCACAGGGAGGTCATTCATCACTTATGACCTGAAAACACGACATCCCAAAGTGCATTCACCTGTAAAACACACCTGTTATACCCGTAACACACACACACACGCCCATGCTAACACCCTGCTACGCTGCTTTCAGGAAATCAACACGCTGTCGGACAAAATCAGAGTCAGAGACCTGCAGATGGTAACCAGGTGAGTGATGGATGCTGCAGGTGATCCGTGTGGGCAGGACCGTCAGCTGACCTGGCAGGTGTGTGTGTGTGTGTGTTTTCTACAGGGAGGCCATGAGTCACATGAAGGAGGGGGAGGAGGAGAAGACAAAGTCCTACATGGCACTCGTGTGGACCCAGAAGCCGATTCAGAGAGAGGACATCGTCTTCATCGATGACATTAAGGTCCCACTTTCATCTCTGGCTGTTTTCAACAAGCTGGTGTTTCTGTTCTAGTCATCAACACTCCGGGTCTGGTTGTCCCTAGGAGTTATACAAACATGGACCACACGTTGGTCCCCTTTTGTTAAAGAAATAGGGTGGTTACTATGGTAACCCAGTTCCATGAAAGGGAGTGAGGGAAGCTCCTTCTGGCATGAGCAACCTCGACCCTGTTCTTGCTCATGCCAGCAGGGCCATGTGGAGAGGTCCTTAAAGGTCCACACCACAGCCCCGCCCCACCTGGTGGCTCCAGAGTCCCGGCTAGGCTTCCATAAGCCAACCTGAGGAACTTCCTATGCTGCAGATCATGCACATGCTGGTGTGAAAACAAGCAGAGTCCGAGGATCTGGGATAGAACTTCCTGATTCGGCATCGCCGACCCAAGGACACTTTAGTCCCAGGAGGGGCGCGACGGTCCTCCTTTCTTCAGAATGAGGACATAAATCAGGGGTTGGTGTGTCCCTAACCCTAACCCACACACCAGAAGCAGGCTGATGCTTTGGATGAACTTCCTGCTAAATAAATGAAGATGAAAGAATTTATAACATTTCCGTTTAAACTTTCATACACTTAAGAATTAAAGTTAAAGTAGACCTGGAGCGGGCTGAAGCCGGAGCTTATTCCTGTCTTTGGGTACTGTGTGATGATGGGATGTGGAGCCTTGAGTCCAGTCTCGGTTTTTCTCATCAGGACCTGATTCTGGACCAGAAGACTCCTCTGAGGGTTCTCCACCGTCGTGCGCTGGCCGTCCGGCAGCGAGTCGTTCATAGCATGAGCACGCGCTTCGTGGACTCCCATCACTTCTACCTGGGGCTGAAAACACAAGCAGGGACGTATCCTCACGACACCAGTCTTGTGTCTTCTCTCGGGTTCAGCAGCTGACTCGTTTGCTGAGCTCTACCTGTTTACAAGCCTTGTTGTTTGTTTCAGTTTGGTTGTTGTTACTGAAATAACATCATGCATGGACTGTGTCATCACTGAGGAGGGCGAGGTCAGCAGAGGGCCAACCCGCCTTCTGCTGACCGCAGAGAAGCAAGTGATGCTGCCAGCAGCTCTGAAGAAGACTCCTGGATTGGTCAGTGGTTAAAAAAATAACCAAGTAATGCAGTATGAAAATAGTCTCCTACACCTATCTCCTGCAGTAGCTTCTGATAGAAAATAGTCTCCTACACCTATCTCCTGCAGTAGCTTCTGATAGAAAATAGTCTCCTACCCCTATCTCCTGCAGTAGCCTCTGATAGAAAATAGTCTCCTACACCTATCTCCTGCAGTAGCCTCTGATAGAAAATAGTCTCCTACACCTATCTCCTGCAGTAGCTTCTGATAGAAAATAGTCTCCTACACCTATCTCCTGCATTAGCTTCTGATAGAAAATAGTCTCCTACACCTATCTCCTGCATTAGCTTCTGATAGAAAATAGTCTCCTACACCTATCTCCTGCATTAGCTTCTGATAGAAAATAGTCTCCTACACCTATCTCCTGCATTAGCTTCTGATAGAAAATAGTCTCCTACACCTATCTCCTGCAGTAGCTTCTGATAGAAAATAGTCTCCTACACCTATCTCCTGCAGTAGCTTCTGATAGAAAATAGTCCTACACCTATCTCCTGCAGTAGCTTCTGATAGAAAATAGTCTCCTACACCTACCTCCTGCAGTAGCTTCTGATAGAAAATAGTCTCCTACACCTATCTCCTGCAGTAGCCTCTGATAGAAAACAGACGGTGAAACTCTAGGATAGAAAATCCTGACAGATCTACGTCACCCTGTCACTAACATTCATGGACTCACCCATCTGGACTCACGACGGGGAAGGCTGTTGTTGGTTTAGCGTCCAGGAAACAGCAGAGAACGTCTCAGCTAGTAGAAGCTAACCGTTAGCATTAGCAACGCTACCACACAGCAGAACTCCTCCAGGCTTGTGTTATTAGTGGAGGTAAAACGTGGGGCGACGGTGGCACAGGAGTTAAGTGCTCCGGCATACAACGCAGTACATCACCAACTCCGCTTTGCTGTACTCGAGCCATTGGCCGTGTTCGAGATGAGCCAGTTCTGCGCAGATTAGACCAGCAGTGATTGGCGAGCAGTGCATGCCGGTTAGATTTGTGTCCGACTTGACGCCGACTTGCTCTGACGTCATGCATACATAGACAACGATAACCTCGTGAGATCAAGGCGGACGCAGATTTTGGAGCAAGGCGCTGCAGTTGCTCTCCCTTGGCTGCAAAACCTAGAGGATGACGGGAAACGCCTGGCTCTCACCTGATCTAAGATCTGATTGGTTCATATTTTGATCCAAGCATCCGGTGGTAGAACATGAAATGTTATTTGTTCACATGTATTCTGTAAATCGTGTTATGTTGATGATAACAACTATATAGGTCATAAAGAGAAATGTGATTTGTGTTCTTTTGTCACGTTTCCTATGAGCACACTGAAGCTACAGCTGATAACCTTTACTTATTATTACAGTCATGTTTTCATATACAATATTTGATATCCACAAGCACGTAAGGATGTGTTTCAGCTGCTAACAGGCACCAGAATTAACATAAATAATTAAACAAGTATGAACGCTAACGAGATATCTACATCCATCGTCACCCACGAGCTACACATGTAGAGAAATCTGTCCGACTTAAACGCCGACTTTCAGCCCCTCCCCCTGCTGCGTCCGTCTGCTCTCGTCTGTTTTCCAGGCGATGCGCAGCTCAACTGGAACACGCCTCCCGTCTTCTTTAAACCGCCAAGAATCATTCCACCTACGCACACGCTTCTCTGCTTCATACCGTTTCGAACTGTCTCGCTTCTCCTCACCAGTTTTAAAGCGTTTTGCTGGAGATTTCATCAAGAAATCCCATCCCTGTGGCGGCGCGATCTTCCTGCGTGCTTGTGTGTTTCTAGCGTGGTTCCACTTCGTCTTTAATAGTGAACTTGTAGTTCACGTGACTATAACTAGAATCATGCAGTACGTGCACGAATCGTACAAGTGCAGTACGTGGCTAGAGGCGCGCAATTTCACGTGCGCGAAACGAAAACGGCGGCTTCCTACAGGGCGGGGCCATGATGTAGGTGGAAGCCGGTGTGTAAATGACAAACAAGTCTTGGGCGCCACCCGGGCGGTAAGTCGTCAAGTATTTACCGCCCGACAAGAAAATTTAGCACCACTGGCGCTCGGGCACTTTAAAGGTCCACCCCTGTTTATTATAATCATTCTTGAATTGATGACGAACTGGAGTTCCTTTTCCTTCTGGAGGCTGACGGATGAGACGGATGAGACCTTGGGAGAAAAATGATTGTTTGTCTTTCAGACTAGTAGAGTCTAAATCCCAGCTGGTGTGCCGCAGACGGATTTAAAGGGAACACATGCGATGTTGTGTCTCCTTTCTGACCAGATGTTGAATAGATGGTAAAAGGTCAGGCGGTACCTAAACCGACCATTGCTGGACACTACGCAGAGCAAACAGAGTCAGCGGTATAGTCGTGTTGCTGTTAGCCAATCAGAGGAGAGATATCTAAACATCAGGAAACAACAATTACAACCCCAAATTCTGTTGTTCTGTGCCCCCGCCACTCCTCCAACTAACTTCTACTTCCTGACACGGGAGCACCACAGGGAACGGCTCATTCATTTAAAGTGGAGGTCTCTGTAGGTTTGTTGAAATAAGTGTAGACCTTTAAATGAAAAGTGGCCCGGCTATATTTCTTGATCCTCAGATAACAGCTACATCAAAGAGTTTGTCCACGGAGACTTTGGACGCACGAAACCAAACCTGTGTCAGCTGCTGAAGACAGACGTGGACATCTTGGAGCTGGACGTGGAGGTAGGACTTTGTGCTGAAGGTTCTAAGACCTTAGGAATGCTAGTCAAGGTAGCATAAACAGACGTGGACAAACTAGCTGGTACCCCTTTGTTACGCTCGTACTGTTGTAACCATTTAGAGGTTACTTTAATAAATAATCAACATAATATATTAATGTATTCAATTAAATGTAATTATACATAAAATATGGATTATCAGTATTATTGAGCCTTTAATATGATTGATGATGAAAGTCGGTACTTTGGGTAATCCAGGGAAACAACACTTTATTATAATTTGGCTCAGAGACAAAAATATAGTTTATTAAAATCTATTTATTACAATATTAATGATGATGAAAGGCTAATGATTATAAAAGGTGACACAGTGATGTTAAATGAGACCATGAATGATGAAACATGACCTGGTGTGTTTAAAGCTTGGTTTATGCTCGACGCATTCACTTTCCGCGCGGTGATGCGGCTCGCGGATGGAACACGCTTCACAGCTCGCAGCGTTTATGGTTCATGCGGCTCGTCTCTGCGGTGAGCCAATATTCTCCCAAACTGTAGGGGGCAGCATGGAGCTCTATGGCATGCATCCAACACTACACCATAGTAGAAGTAGAAATTACTGTTTACAACATGGCATTTCAGCATTTTTAACAGCGTCCTCGTCTTTTCCGACAGTGCGAGCTATTTCTCTCCAAGAATTATTAACAACATGTTGATCACGGTGATCTCTGAGAGCTGAATCATACAAATGTCTGTGTTTACCAACCTCTGCCATACTAGTTCTTGCCGGTCCACCATGTTTTTCCGCGTCCGACCGTCTGCGTGGTTAGAAATTTTCCTAGGTGCGCGGTGCGGAAATTTTGGGCCGTGAGGAGGCGCGTGGACCTCTCGGATGAGAGGTGAAACGTCTTCAAGCAACTCAAAGAAGTCCAGACGCTTTTCTTTCAAAGCTCCTTAGACTACAATGACCTGGATGACTGAGAACCTTCACAGACACGTTGGTCTGAAACGGTTTTTATCATTTAAGTAATATCTCCAAACTGTGAAGGTTGGTGTCAAAACATGAACCTGAAATGGTTCTCCATGCCTTTATCTCCTCCCGTCTAGATTACTGTAACACACTCTTCACATGTTTTAACAAAAAAACCTTGACCGCCTTCAGTTGGTCCAGAACTCTGCAGCGAGGCTCCTAACTGGAGCAAACAGAAGAGCACACATCGCTCCTGTTCTGACGTCTCTACACTGGTTACCCGTTAACTTTAGAGTTCATTTAGAGTCCTGACTAGAACCTTCAGGGCTCTACATGGTCAAGCTCCTCCCTATATTACTGACCTGTTAAAGCCTTATGCTCCAACCCGAGCCCTCAGGTCCACCCACCAGAACCTTCTAGAAGTTCCAAAGACCAGATATAAAAGTGGAGGTGATCGCTCCTTCCAGACTGTTGCACCCCTGTTCTGAGATCATTATGATTTAATGACTTTGTTTTATTTTGTTTTGATCTATGTGAAGCACTTTGTGATTCTATGTCTGTGATGAGTGCTGTATAAATAAAATTGACTTACTTACATCAGAGTAAATGATGGACAGACTAAACGGGTCTTTTGGCTGAACTTTTCCTCGTCTTTTAAATGAGTCTGTTGTTTTTTTAATATTATTTGAAGCTGGATTTGATTCATGTTAGAACCCGGTACAGACCAGATCAATTCATTCCTGATAAGTGAATTCCTAAAGCAAAAGGTCGGTGGACGTTTCTGATTTCTGGGTCAAAAGTCAGATAAAGCTGTTATGACGTCTCTAACTACTGTTTCCTCTCTCAGTCTGTAGATGTGGACTGGCCTCCTGCCATCCCAGAGTGAAGGCTGACCCATTCCTGCACCGAGCTTCACATCGACACCCTGGTCTGGGTCAGAATCTGCTGCTCTGTTTACGTTTAGTATTAATGGTTTGATTTTAGGGAAATGTTTGTGTTCATTAGTAAGAAGGTCTGAGTCTGACTCAGCTGCTGCTCTATCGTGGACTGTTTTGACCTCCTGTATTATCAGTTCTGTTGTTAATAAAGAGAAAAAGTTTCGCCCCAGCAGAATTTGTCTTAACATTGACACATCTGATAAACTGGAAGGCATCTCTGTGTTTCAGTAACATCATCACAAAGGACATAAATGAGTCAGAATCGTAGAAGTCTAAAGCCTAATTTATACGTTTCCATCTGCGCCATTGCAGAGACGAGCAGCGCCGTTAGCGTCAGTGCAAGGGCTCTCCAACTGGCTCGCAGAGGGCCCAAATTTGTAACTATCTGTGGAAAGAGTTAATGCAGGACTGCACGCTTGTGATTGAACAGGTCTAAAATTTGTCATCAGCGACTTCCGGTCGGAACATCATCAAGATGGCCGCATAGCAAAAACGCTCCCGACCAAACCAAGAAACTTAAAGAAATTCCCCCATAAAACCATCACCATGAAAAGGTCAAGAAGGAGGGGAAAGGGCCTTAGTACCATTTTTGAGAGTGAAACGTCGCCTGCGTACAGATACGTGAGAAGAACTGAGGGCGGCTACAACTAGCGGCGACCAGGCTAGGTGCTAGTTAACACCAGAGCACGGAGAAACAGAAGAAATGGAGCAGATTCTGCAAGAGTTAAGAGGATTCCGCCAAGAAAATAAAGAACATTAGAGAAAATAAGAGAGGAGATTATGCATCTAAATGCCAGAATGGATGAAATGGAAGGGCGAATTGAGAAAACAGAAGAGAGGGTCCAGAACACGGAAGTTATCACGGATATGCTAAAACTGCATGAGAAGCTGGAGGAGAAGTTTGTTGATCTGGAAAGCCACTCCAGACGCGAGAATATAAGAATGTATGGGGTGCCAGAAGGACGTGAGAAAGCCTCAACATCGATGGCTTCATTTGTGGAAATTTTACTCCGCGCGGGCCTTGAGTTACCTGACGAACTGGGCGACCTGAGGATTGAACGAGCTCATCGATCGGGGGGCCACAACCGCCGAGGGACGCACCGCCATGCTCCATCATAATCAAGTTTCTAAGCTTTAAAACAAAGGACACAATACTATGCAAGGCTTGGCAGAACAAGGGGTTTCCATGGCAAGATAAACACATAAATCTGAACCACAACTACCCGGCGCTCGTACTCAAGAAACGCAGAGAATACTCGGAGATCTGCAAAACATTGAAGGAAAACAAAGTGCCGTTTCAGACCGTCTTCCCGGCCTGTCTGCGGGTAAGACATGAGGACGAACCAAAACCTACGACACAATAGAAGAGGCATCGGAGGACCTGCAGAGGAGGGGATACGCTGTGGAATCCATCAGATCACCAGAGACGCTCAACGAACAGATTCGACAGCTGTCTTGGAACAGAGCAGATGGGAGGGAGAAGAAGGATACATCCAAAATTGGACGGAGCTATAAGGAAAAGTTGAGAGCCTTCAAGAGTCGCCTACAGGTTGTGCAGAACAGCACAGCCAGGTTCCTGACTGGGACCAGGAAACGGGACCACATCAGTCCGGTTCTGGCCTCCCTGCACTGGCTTCCGGTTTGCTATCGTTCACACTTCAGACTCCTCGTCTTTGTTTATCATTTCTTCCAGGGTGGTGCTCCTCCCTATCTAGCCGCACTCCTCAACAGACATTCCCTATCACGCACTCTGCGCTACTCTGACCAAGGCCTGCTCGTTGTCCCTCGTTCTAGGTGTCGTACTCGCGGGGACCGGGCTTTCTCAGTCCTAGCACCATCTCTCTGGAACCAGTTGCCACCCTCAGTTAGGCTGTCCCCATCTCTGCCAGTCTTTAAGAGTCGCCTAAAAACCCACCTCCTCCGCTTGGCGTTTCCAGAACATGTTTGAATCTGGCCCTCTTTTATGTTGATTTTATCTCACAGTTTTCACTGGTTCACTCTATCCATTGTTTTACACATTTGTCTTCTACTAGAATGTTTCACCTTTTTTGTAATTTGTAATCTGTCATTTGAATTGCTTTTATTTTCTGATTTATTCACTTTCTTTAACTTTGTACTGTACCATGTTCAGCGCCTTGGGCTTCCTGACAGGGTTGCAGAAGGCGCTTTATAAATAAAGCTTTGATTGATTGATTGATTGATTGATTGATTGATTGATTGATTGATTGAGGAGACCATCGCCGACTCCAGCCGAGACCTAAAGGACAGCAATCCAGGGACGACAGAACCAAGTGCGAAAGGTGAAGTAAAAATGTTAAAAGGTGGGAACTGAGGAACTGGTTGGTCGGGGACCGAGACTTTGTATTGGACGATTAGTTTTTCGTTAGTTTTTCGATATGCAGCGGTCACAGGAAAATCTGATCCAAAAAACATAAGCAGAAAATTAAACAACTGGGTGCAGGAAGTGGGGATTGTGGATGTATGGAGGGAGATAAACCCGACCAGTCGCGATTACTCACATTATTCCCGTGCGCATAATGTCTACTCCCGCATTGACTTTTTTTTATGAATAAAGGAGATCTATTTATGGTCGATAAGTGCGAAATAGGACCTAGTACTATTTCAGATCACAGCCCCATTTATTTAACAATCTGCTAGAATAACAGGAAGAGATCCACTCTTTGGAGATTGAATTCTGATATCTTAAATAATCCAGCCACGAAGGACAAATTAAAAACAGAAATCAAGCAATATTTGTAAGAGAGCGACAACAATGAAGTGAACCCACCTATTCTTTGGGACGCATTGAAAGCAGTGGTTAGGGGCAAAATAATAGCAATTTCCTCATATGAGAAAAAAACAGGGAACAAAAACTCAAAAGGTTAGAAAACGACTTGAAAAGACTACAGATAGAATATGCAAATGCCCCCAAAAAAGATCATAAAGGATTGATCAACGCATTAAAAAAAAGAAATTGATGAGATAAACACTCGAGAAATCAAGAAGAAGCTCCTCTTCATAAAGCAACGATGTTATGAAATTGGTAGTAAATCTATGAAACTTTTGTCATACAGACTTAGAAAACAACTAGCAGATAGAACTATACATAAAATTAGAAACCCAGTAACAAAGGACATAGAAACTAACTTGGAGAAAATTCAACAATGCTTCCAAAGATACTATAAGAATTTATATAAACAACCACAACAACGTAGCCACAATCAAACGGAGGCATTTTAGACACAGATGGAACTCCCTAGGATTACTGAAGAACAAAATAAAAAAAATTGATAACGGAAATAACAGAAGAAGGAATTCAATCGGCAACAAGTAGAATGAAGGGGGGAGTGGGGGGGGGGGGGGGGAATCCCCGGGGACAGATGGTTATCCCGCAGAATGGTATAAGGTGATGAAGGATCAGTTAATCCCAACTTTATTAAGAACATTCAGTTGGATTTTAAAACAAAAAAATATTCCCCCCTCCTGGAAAGGAGCAGTTATATCACTTATGCCAAAGGAGGGGAAAGATAAAACAGAGTGTGGAAACTATCGTCCAGTAAGCCTTCTAAATAACGACTACAAATTATTCACCTCCACCTTAACTAGAAGAATAGAAACAATATTCCCAGGACTTATACATAAGGATCAGACCGGCTTCGTCAAACAAAGGCAAACACAAGATAACATTCAGAAAACACTCCGCATAGCAAGACAAATCACACAGCAAAGATTAGAAGCATTGATTATAAGCCTAGACGCAGAGAAAGCATTCAATTCGGTGAGGTGGTCATTTTTATACAAGGTGCTTTCTAAATTTGGATTCCATAAAGACATAATTGACTTGCTAGCATCACTTTACGATAACCCGACGGCTCGAATTAAGATAAATGGAGACCTAAGTGACACGTTTGTGTTCGAGAGGGGAACGAGACAGGGATGCTGTATGTCGCCGCTCCTCTTCACCCTTTTCATGGAACCCATGAGCCAACTAATCAGGGACAGCCCAGATATACAGGGGATCACAACCACCTCTGGGGAACAGAAACTATCCTTATTCGCAGATGACTTATTAATAAACATAACTAATCCTACACAGTCTCTCCCAAAACTTATGAAGATTCTGAAGGAATTTTGCCGTATTTCTGCTTGAATTTCCATTCCGTTTCAGCTTTAGAGCTCGTTTTTTCTTTTGGACTTAGAATAATATTTAGTCGACAAGATTTGTTTGTTTTTTTCCTCTGGTTTTATTTAGCTCCGGCCTTTTTCGTAAAATTATACTCAAAGTATCTCTGTTGTTCCTTCCCTGAGGCCTTTTGCCTCAGGTGTTTTGATTTCTTCCCTGTCGCCTTCGTTTAGTTAAAGAGAGTAAATAGTTCCTTAGTTTAATTTCAATTCCGTCATGGATTGAGAATTTGTGTTTACTCCTTTTGCTAATAAAATACATTTTTATTTATACTCAGCCATTTCACTCCAGTTATTATGTTACCCCTCCTACCACAACGGACTTCCATCTAGGGTTTGTAACATATACTATAGTATAACCCTTTTTAGTATACTTCTTAGTATAAGCCTTCTAGGATATTTTAGTATACACCTTTTAGGATATTTTAGTATACTTTTAGTATACGCCTTTTAGGATATTTTAGTATACGTTTAGTATAAGCCTTTTGTATACTTCTTAGTAAAAGCCTTTTAGGATATTTTAGTATACGTTTAGTATAAGCCTTTTCGTATACTTCTTAGTATAAGCCTTGTAGTATAATTCTTAGTAAAAGCCATTTAGTATACTTCTTAGTAACAGCTTTTTAGTATACTTCTTGGTATGAGCCTTTAAGTATACTTCTTAGTAAAGGCCTTTTAGTACACTTCTTGGTACAGTGGGGCAAAAAGTATTTAGTCAGCCACCGATTGTGCAAGTTCTCCCACTTAAAATGATGACAGAGGTCAGTAATTTACATCATAGGTACACTATGAGCCTTGTAGTATACTTATTAGTAAAAGCCTTTTAGTATACTTCTTGGTAAAAACCTTTTAGTATACTTCTTGGTATGAGCCTTTTAGTATACTTCTTGGTATGAGCCTTTTAGTACACTTCTTTGTATGAGCCTTTTAGTATACTTCTTGGTATAAGCCTTTTAGTACACTTCTTGGTATAAGCCTTTTCGTATACTTCTTTGTAAAAGCCTTTTAGTATACTTCTTTGTATGAGCCTTTTAGTATACTTCTTGGTATAAGCCTTTTAGTACACTTCTTGGTATAAGCCTTTTCGTATACTTCTTTGTAAAAGCCTTTTAGTATACTTCTTGGTATGAGCCTCGTAGTATACTTCTTAGTAAAAGCCTTTTAGTATACTTCTCTGTAAAAACCTTTTAGTATACTTCTTGGTATGAGCCTTTTAGTATACTTCTTGGTATGAGCCTTTTCGTATACTTCTTAGTAAAAGCCTTGTAGTATACTTCTTGGTATGAGCCTCTTAGTATACTTCTTAGTTAAAGCCTTTTCGTATACTTCTTAGTATAAGCCTTTTTGTATACTTCTTAGTATAACCCTTTAAGTATACTTCTTAGTAAAAGCATTTTAGTACACTTCTTGGTATGAGCCTTTTAGTATGCTTCTTGGTATAAGCCTTGTAGTATACTTCTTAGTAAAAGCCTTTTAGTATACTTCTTGGTATGAGCCTTTTAGTATACTTCTTAGTATAAGCCTTTAAGTATACTTCTTAGTAAAAGCCTTTTAGTACACTTCTTTGTATGAGCCTTTTTGTATACTTCTTAGTATAAGCCTTTTAGGATATTTTAGTATACATTTAGTATACTTCTTAGAAAAGCCTTTTAGGATATTTTAGTATACATTTAGTATACTTCTTAGAAAAGCCTTTTAGGATATTTTAGTATACATTTAGTATACTTCTTAGAAAAGCCTTTTAGGATATTTTAGTATACTTCTTAGTATAAGCCTTTTAAGTATACTTCTTAGTAAAAGCCTTTTAGTATACTTCTTGGTACAGTGGGGCAAAAAAGTATTTAGTCAGCCACCGATTGTGCAAGTTCTCCCACTTAAAATGATGACAGAGGTCAGTAATTTACATCATAGGTACACTATGAGCCTTGTAGTATACTTCTTAGTAAAAGCCTTTTAGTATACTTTTTGGTAAGCCTTTAAGTATACTTCTTAGTAAAAGCCTTTTAGTACACTTCTTTGTATAAGCCTTTTAGGATATTTTAGTATACATTTAGTATACTTCTTGGTATGAGCCTTTTAGTATACTTCTTGGTACAGTGGGGCAAAAAAGTATTTAGTCAGCCACCGATTGTGCAAGTTCTCCCACTTAAAATGATGACAGAGGTCAGTAATTTACATCATAGGTACACTATGAGCCTTGTAGTATACTTCTTAGTAAAAGCCTTTTAGTATACTTTTTGGTAAGCCTTTAAGTATACTTCTTAGTAAAAGCCTTTTAGTACACTTCTTTGTATGAGCCTTTTTGTATACTTCTTAGTATAAGCCTTTTAGGATATTTTAGTATACATTTAGTATACTTCTTAGAAAAGCCTTTTAGTATACTTCTTAGTAAAAGCCTTTTAGGATATTTTAGTATACTTCTTAGTATAAGCCTTTTAAGTATACTTCTTAGTAAAAGCCTTTTAGTATACTTCTTGGTACAGTGGGGCAAAAAAGTATTTAGTCAGCCACCGATTGTGCAAGTTCTCCCACTTAAAATGATGACAGAGGTCAGTAATTTACATCATAGGTACACTATGAGCCTTGTAGTATACTTCTTAGTAAAAGCCTTTTTAGTGCACGTCCAACTGGGTAAAGGCCTAAAGGGAGACCCAGGATACGCTGGAGGGACTTTGTCTCTTGGCTGGCCAGGGAACACCTTGGTATTCACCCGGAGGAGCTGACCCAAGTAGTTGGGAAGAGGGAAGTTGGGGCCTCCCGGCTTCGGCCTGCAACCTGACCTTGGATAAGCAGCCGAAAACGGGACGTTATGTGCCGCTCATGAATCCAGTGGAAAGCTGAATGACTGAAAAAAATGGACTTGTGCATAATGTTCCAATTTTGAGTGTCACCCATACAACGGTATGTTTTTATGTTCATATCCACTGTGTCTGGTTTTATCCAATTTTCTGTCACATCAGGCTTTTTGACTCTGGGGGGATCCTGAGGTTTATCCAAAATGTAGCTTGCCGTCTTTTTCCAAGACGGTACATTCCACGTTTAGTGTGGGATGATGTTCTATGTTCTCACCAGGAACAGCTTGGTCTTCAGTCCAGAGGGGTCAGAAACTTTAAAGAACTGTCACAACAGCAGCAACCCTGAAATGTACTTGTTTTAATTTAATTCAAAAATAAATACTACTACGGCAATTCAAGTCCACTACTCGGTTCTTGCCCTAACGTTTTGGTAAGAAAACATCCCAAAAACAATGGAAAAAGACTTGTTATGGCATCCAACACCCTCCAGAGACTTCCGGAATGTGCCTTTTTTAAACATACACGGTAACACTGCTCGGCATGACAAACATAAATAAAACAAACACTATGGAGGGGTGAGAGGAGGCAGGAACAACCTGATGTTATCAGCATAAAAGGAAAAACATCAGCCGCTGATTCCACGGAGGCTTTATTTCGGGGGGGGGGGGGGGGGGGGGGGGGGCATAAAAAAACAATAAAAATCATCAGTAGTCGGGTCTTGTCCTCAATTCTCTGTAGACGTTTCCCACAAATGCACTTTTTCATCTGCATCATCTGAACTAAATAAATAGAAAGCATTGCATATGTACACGAGAAGTTCCTCCAGGAGCCTCACAGTCCTCACGGCTCACTTCTCTGCTGATTCATAGTTCAGACTTAAAAACGGAGCAGGTAGTGTGTCCTTACCCAGACGTCACTGTGGTGTGTGGTTCAAATCCCACACATCCTGCTGATATTTTCAAAATAAAGCCAGTCCAGCTGCCCCTCATGTCTTCATCCCTTCTCTGCTCGTCTTCATCACAACAGTCAGACATTCACTTTCCTCCAGGAACAAATCGATCCGTTTGAATCCGCCCAGAGCACATCTCACTGACTGACGCAAGTCTGAATGAGTCAAAGGTCATCGGGCTTCCAGCAGACCAGCGGTGGAAGATCTCACTGAGCTTGTAGAGGTGGATCAGCTGGAGATGGTCCAGAACCAGAGCCAACAGCATACATGGGTAGAACCTGACTACACTTAGCTTAACATCAAGATCACACAGTGAGTTACAGTAAAACATAAGATCAGAAGAGAAGGTCCTAAAAGCACCTGTCGGTTCAGCGGTGTGAGTCCGGAGCAACGCTCTGCTCAGATCTGGGCTCACGGGTTACGATAGAGTCCTGTGGTGTTTGGGCTGTCCTGGGACCGTCAAAGGAAACGTGTGTGTGTGTGTGTGTGTGTGTGTGAGAGAAAGGTGAAACAGAGTAAAGTTTAAACAGGAATCTGAACCAGCCCTGGTCAAGAACTACAACACCCACAATGCCTTGTGTGGGACCACCAAGGCACCTTCTGTCTAAACTGAACCTGTAGAAGGATTTCCTTGGAAATCGAGAAGAAGATTTTTGGGAGCATTTAGTCTGTGGCTATTAAGACTCTTATTTTGAAGGACAGGAGGAAGTTGTGTGTCTCACTGTTATGATCTGATTGGTGCCAATTTAGCTGTTTTACCTGTGGAAGCTCCTCACTAACATGATTAATAACATCTGGTCGTGTTGTGGAGTGCTGCTCCTCCTCCAGCTCCTCCCCCTCAGGTTCCTCCTCCTCCAGCTCCTCCCCCTCAGGCCCCTCCCCTTCAGGCTCCTCCTCAGGGTGCTCCTACTCTGACTCCTCCCCCTCAGGCTCCTCCTTCTACAGCTCCTCCCCCTCAGGTCCCTCCCTTTCAGGGTCCTCCTACTCTGACTCCTCCCCCTCAGGCTCCTCCTCCTCCAGTTCCTCCTCTGGCTCCTCCCCCTCAGGCTCCTTCTCAGGCTTCTCCTCCTCCAGTTCCTCCTCCTCTGGCTCCTCCTCCTCCACTTCCTCCTCCTCAGGCTCCACACCGATAGACAGAAACAAAATCTTCTTCCTTCAGTAACTTCTGAGTCACGCCTCTACGCTACAGCAGCTCACACGTTGAAACGTCTTTCCTGAAGTCTGCTGCTGAGGAGACCAGACAGAGGAGCAGCAGGAGGAGCTGTGGTTGTGCTCTGGGCTCCAGATGGTGTGCGCCGTTTCAGATGAAGGAGCTCTGAGGTGTTTCTGCAGAACTTCCATCGTTGTCCTCTCCTAACAGGCGGGACTGCCGGGGATTTGGGAATGTGTGCCCCCATAGCAACAGGATGAGGAGTGAACCACGGGACATGCACCCGTCCTGACCCGACCCAAACATCTGCACACGTAAGGCAACATTTTTGGTTTTTGTTCCCTAGAAAGGCCATTCCAAACCAAGTGCAACAAGTCCAAACTAAAGGAGAAAAGGGCAGAACTGATGAGAACAGATGAACACATCCTGGGCCGACCACTTAATACTGATGAAAGACCAAATAAATAACAAGAACGTTGCCTTCTGCAGGACATGGAGCTGAAAATCTGGGATTTTTTAGTGTGGGGAGACCGGCTTGAATCTGTCCCACTGTGCAAAAACCTCTTTTAAAGTCCCTTAAGACTTCTTCCCATCTGCAGACAGAAGAGAAAGAGGGGAGACTGGTACTTCTTTTCCTAGAATGGCTACGAGTTTTCCTCAAAATGGCCGACGATGGGACGGTATGGCCAGGCTGGGCCGGAGGGCTCATTCCCGCCCGCTGGCAGAGTAGGAGAACTGGGGAAAATGAGGCCTTCGCTCATTGTCCGCTGCATCGACCCCATCCTCGTCGTCTGAAAGACATCAGAGGCAAACGTTAACGTGCCCTAGAAAAAGGTCATGTGACGTCCTGCTGCAGCTGCACGTCTTTGTGTCGTGACTCAGTTCCGTTTATGTCTATATTCGAGTCGTCTCAAGGACCTGCACACAGTAAACAGCACAGGTCAGGTCATTAGGCCAATCAGTAACAAGTTTCCTATATAAGGAGCCCAGCAGGTCGCATCGAGTCACTGACTGGTGTCAGAGTCTTTACAGCAATCCTCATACTAAGCAAGCATGCAGCGACAGTGGAGAGGAAAACTCCTGTTTAACAGGAAGAAACCTCCAGAGAATCCTGGCTCAGTATAAGCAGCCATCCTCCACGACTCACTGGGACTATCTCACCTGTCTGTGTCCCCACTGTCTGATGGAAGAGACTTTAGATCTGATTGGACTGATAAGCTAACAGCTAGTTGACCAAGGCCGTTTACAAGGTGGTGTTTGGTACCAGAGGCTGCCGGTACCACAGCTGGTCTCACACAATCACAAAACTATGGAACCAGCTACAACGCTGACGTAACACTTAAGAGGTGAGCTGTGTAATAAGCATAGCCTCAGCCTAGCTGTTAGCCTATCAGTCATGTGGAACAGGAACCTGTGACAGGTTAGGAGGGAACAGTTCTCTAGGACACCAACAACCACAAGAGCATTTACAGACAGGCTCACATTTCTCTGGCGGGGTGATGGTGATGGTCTGTGCTGTGAACTCTTCATCAAAGTAGCGCGTGTCCGTCTCTGAGCTCACCTGGGGCTGGAAGGGCGGGACCAACTGGAACACACAGGCAGGTTTTCTACGTTTATGACCCAGAAACTCACCAACAGCAGCAAATTAGATGGGACTTCATCCCAGCCAGACGGCTCCAGATGAGTAAGGTAACCGATACCAAACACCTCTGACAGCTGCCAGAGGAACCCTGCTCTCACCTTCTTGTCGTAGACGTCCTGCCAGTCCACACTGCCAAAGAAACTGTGTCGCATGATCTCCTTCGCGTCATCCGGTCCGCCGCCCAGCCTGTCACCAGACAGAGGGAGGAGGAAGATGTTTGAGTCCGACATGAAGTAAAGTCTCCATCACTGGCACCTGCTTCTGATCCTTAAATAGCTCCTCAGGAGAAACGAGTTTCTGCCCTGAAGCTGCAGCTTCCCCCTTCTGGGACGGGGGGGGGGGGGGGGGGGGGGCTTTCTCCTCAAGAGCAGGACCATGGAGGTCACCTCAGGACATCACTTTTGTTTAGTTTGCTGCGACCAGAAAACAAGCTAATGTGTGTGTGTGTGTATACTTGTCTTTATATGTTTAAGTGGACACATTTTGACTTTAACCAGTAACTTCTGGACATTTAGAATAGAATAGAATAGAACAGAACAGAATAGAATAGAATCGACGTTATTCATCCCACAGTATCACTTGTTACAGCAGCACCAACACTTAAGAGAATAACCAGAAGAGAAAGGTTAACCCTAACCCTAACAAAGGTACACGTATGTACACATAGGCAGTTCCAACACTATGCAGCATGCTGTAAGAGACACACACATACTATGTACATCTGGTACTACACTAGTACTGAACACATACTGAGTATTGCGTTGGTGGTACTGTGTACCAGGATAACGCCAGTACCAGTTAAACTGAGGAGGTCTACACTCTTACTGCAGAGGGGATAAATGACCTACGGTAGTATTCTGTTTTACATCTGGGACGTCTCAGTCTGCCTCTGGAGGAGCTGCCCATGGTCTCCTCAGTGGGAAGCAGTGGGTGGGAGGGTGCTTAAGATGGAGGTCATCTTCCCCAGCATCCTCCTTTCACACGTCTCCTCAGCTGAATCCAGTGGGCGGCTCAGAACCGAGCTAGCTTTGTGAACTAGCATGTTCAGTCTCTTCCTGTCTCGGTCAGAGCTGTCTGCACCCCAACAGACCATCAGAGTGGATAACAGAGCCAACCACAGAGTGATGGAAGGATTTTAGCAGCAGAATTAACTCCGAAGGATCTCAGCCTCCTCAGGAGGTGGAGGCAGCTTTGGTCCTTCGTATACAGCATCTGTGTTGTTGGACCAGTTCAGTTTGCTGTTGAGGTGAAGACCCAGGTACTTAAAGGTATCCACCTCCTCAATGTCTGCTCCCTGGATGTTTACTGGTGAGTGAGATGGAGTGTTTCTCTGGAAGTCAGTCACCATTTTCTTTGTCTTACTGGTGTTCAAGTGAAGGTGGTTAAACTCACACCAGTCCACAAAGTCCATGATGACTGACCTGTACTCCAGGTCATTCCCCCAGACACACAGCCGACAATGGCCGAGTCACCAGAGAACTTCTGGAGGTGACAGCTGCTGGTGTTGTAGGTGAAGACTGAGGTGTAGAAGGTGAAGAGAAAGGGTGAGAGCACCGTGCCCTGTGGAGCTCCAGTACTGCACACAACTACCTCAGATGTAGTTGTGCAGCCTCACGTGCTGTGGCCCGTTGGTGAGGTAGTTGATGGTGTATGCAGTCAGATGTTCGTCCACTCCTGCATTCCTCATCTTCTGCTGCAGGAGACACGGTTGGACAGTGTTGAAGGCACTTGAGAAATTGAAGAACGTGATTCTCACAGTGCTCTTTTACATCTCGAGGTGAGTCAGAGCCCGGTGCTGCAGGTGGATGAGCGTGTTCTCTACCCCCATGTTTGGTTTATATGCAGATTGCAGTGGGTCTATTTCCGGGGTCACCACTGAATGTAGGTGGGTGAGGATGAGTCTGCATAGTCTTCATCAGATGGGAGGTCAAGGCGACAGGTCTGTAGTGGTCTGGTTCCCTGGGATGTGATGTTTCGGGAACTGGAACCACACAGGAGGACTTCCACAGGATGGGGACCTGCTCCAGCTGACGGCTCAGGTTGAACATGTGCGTGACCGCTTCACAAAGCTGGCCAGCACAGTCTGGGACTGATCCCGTCAGGACCTGATGCTGCTCTGCTCTTAAGCCGCCTCAGTTCTGTCCTCACCTGGTCCGATGTAACTGAGAGGGGAGTGAGGGAGGGTGTGGTGCTGATGGGGGTTAGTGGAGGGGGGAGAGGCTGATGCATGGTGTGGAATTTGGAGGTGTGATGTGGTTGGCTGGCTCAGTGTGGCTGGGGGCAGGTAGGTGTTGGTGGTACCTGTTGCAGCAGTGGAGGGTGGAGTCTAATCTGTCAAAAAAAACAGGTTAAGCTCGTCGGCCCAGTTCTGATACCCTTCAGCAGTCTCGCTGCACCACTCCTCCCACTGTGACCTGTGATGTTCCTGAGGCCTCTCCATGCTCCTCCAGCATCGTCCTGCCCCAGCTGTTTCTCCAGCTTCTTCCTGTAGCCGTCTTTAGCCCGTCTGATCTAATATTTGAGCTCCTTCTGGACCCGTCTGTGCTTCTCTTGTCTCCAGCCATAAAAGCTTTCTTCTTCTTTTCTCTTAATATTAAGCATGATCTGACCCAGGGAGAGCATGTAGATATTGAAGAGCAGTGGTCCAAGAACTGAGCCTTGGGGGACCCCACATGTGATGGTGATCAGCTCTGATTTGTGACCACCAATAGAAACAACATAACCCTGCTGTAGTCCTGCTGCAGACTGGTCAGTGCTGTCAGCTCATCAATCTTACTGAGAGAACAGACATTTCCCATGACCATGGAGGGTAACATTTCCACATTGTGGAGACATCTGGCTGGTCCACACACCGCTAGGCACCCTAAGACGTGGTTTCAGAAGTCTGGTGTGAGTTAACGTTTATGTTAGGATCAGGAATGAACAGCATCTGTTAGGGGAGTCACTAAAATGAATGGAATTCAAGGGAGGGTCCATTCAAGCAATTAAATACGTGTGTGTGTGTGTGTGTGTGTGTGTGTGTGTGTGTGTGTGTGTGTGTGTGTGTGTGTGTGTGTACCGTTTGTTGGGGTCTTTGATCAGCAGTCCTGACAGCAGCGACTTGGCGTCTGCTGAAAGCGTTCGTGGGAACTTGATCTCTTCCATCAGGATGAGCTCAAACAGCTTTTCATGATCCTGGTTGTAGAAGGGGAGGCGGCCACACATCATCTCATATGTGACCACACCCAAGCCCCACCAGTCCACTGCCCGCCCGTAGTCGTTGTCTTCCAGAACCTGAGAGAGAGAACAAATCACGTAGCGCAGTGGTGTCAGGTTCACACTGGGCCCAAATGAAAAACTGGGACCAAGTTTCGGGCCAAACTCAACATTTATCCAGAAGTGAGGTACATGTGCACCTTTTCCTTTATATACAGATGTGTGTGGCTGAACACTGAATCTGGTAGGACCCAATTACACACGAGCAAGTACATTATAAATAAAACACATCAGTTGTTACTTATGTCTTTTTTTTACTCTTTATATTCCTTAAAATGTGTATATATTAGGGTTGTCACGGTAACCGGTGTAGCGGTAAACCCCGGTAAAAAAGTTGACAATAATAATAACCGTCTTGTTTTTAAAAAAAAAAAAATCTCGGTGGATTACCGTGGCTGCGGTGTAGGCGCGGTGACCCTTACCAGCCACCGTATCATCTGCTGAAGTTGCCGGCGGCACATGTGCACTTTGTTGTTTACAACCAAAACTTTCTTGAAGCTAAAGCTGAAATAATGGCCAAAGGAGGAGACGGCAGCGCTCAGGACATTTATTATCCCTCAAAGAAGACAAAGTGGGAAGTACGGGCATCTTTTGGATATTTGAAGAATGCCGAGGGACAGCTGATAGAAGACGGCTATCCTGTTTGCAGCACGAGCAGAAAAAGTGTCTGTGAAAGGCAACAACGCTTCAAATCTCATGACACATCTGCGTGACCATCACCCACAACTCCACAGTCAACGCAAGGCAAGCTAACGTTAGCGTTTTAGCTAAAATGCGTGATCCGAGGATTTGGGTTGAGGGAGAATGCAACGAGTCGCTATATAAAGCAGCCGCAGCGCCGCTACCTGCATATAAACCGTGTCGCGGACACCGCCATGTTGAAATGACGCTATGCATTACGGGGCTCCCAGGGGCAGATAAGAGTTGGTCTCTCTCCGAGAATAATTATGAATTTAACAACGATTACTGCCTGATGACATTTTCCCACATCTGCAAAGCTCACTGGAAGGACACAAACCGAGGACGATATTTTCCTGATATAGGGTTTATTACTCAAGTAAGGGTAAAAAAGCATCTGATTAGAAGGCTACTTGAGTACTGAGTATCATCTGATCTAAGATTTTTAAATGATGACATCAAACAGACAAAATAAGAAGTTATGGGCAAATATTGGTATTTTAAAGACTAAAGGGAAAAAAATGTAAACAAATAAACAACATAATTACAAAATAACACATTTTAGGCAAAATTTAGACACAAACTGAGGACAATATTTCCTGACATACAGGGTTTATTTAATTGTGTGAAAATGTAACACGTTTAAAAAAATACCGCGATAATACTGAAAACTGTGGTAATTTTGGTCACAATAACCGTGAGGTTACATCTTCACACCGTGACAACCCTAATATTTATTCAGCATTTCTGAACGTTTTCTGTGTTCTTGTTGTTTACTGTTTACTCTCCTTCTCTGCTCCTGTGATGAATCTCATTGCTGCTGTGACACCAAGCTTCCCCACTGAGGGCCAATAAAGGCATCTTTTCTAGTCGTCTACCTGTAGCCTTTCCAGTTCCTTAATGTTCTATTGTACATATTTCACCTTATTTCAGTAAAACGTTAAGCCTTATTAATATCACACACTGCGTTTACAGTAACATGTACATATAGCCACAGATGATGAGTAGACTTTAACATGTTAGCTACTGGTGATGCTAATATTTCATTTCTACTGGTAACAATGGAATGGTGGCGGATCTAGTCCATTAAGCGCCTCGTGATTTTCATCTTGAGAGGCGCTATAGAAATGATACTTTCTTCTTCTTCTTCATTATGCACATGATGGCAATAATTATATGCTACAACGGCCTGCCATAGTCCTGCTGTGGTAAGGCTGGGACGGGCAGCAACAATCTCAGCTAGCCCCCCACCATCTACATGTTTTGTTCCAGCCTCCATCTGATTGTGAACATGCAACCTGTTAGCTTTAGAATTTGCCCACCCGGTCATGGATTGATCCTTGGAGACTTTTTGCCGTTGCTGGTTTCTCTACTTTCCTCCATAACACCAAGATAACCACGTTGTTCACCAGTATGATGTGTGCAGGCTGTGGTGTGCAAATGTAACGTAGCCTTGAATCACCTAAAATGATCTGAGTCACTTCTTTAGTATTTGTTTCAGCACAACTTTTAAGAGCCAGACACCAAAAGTCTTTTTATGGTATTTCCTAATTCATTCAGCACTTAGAGGACTTGTGTTATGAACTGGTGCTGTATAAAGGAGCTGAAACGAGTTTGACTGAAACTAAATGGATATGGATTCATTAGCCCTAAGGTGTATGAGGATCTAGTGGGTGCTGACCTCAGGAGCCAGGTATTCAGGTGTTCCACAGAACGTCTTCATGGTGGCCGTGTCGGTGATGCCCTCCTTACACAGACCAAAGTCTGTGATCTTGATGTGGCCATCTTTGTCCAACATTAGGTTCTCAAGCTGGTGGTGGTGGTGGAGGGGGGACGACAAAAACAAGGTTACCCTTACTTTGACAGTCTGATGCTCGGTCAGCTCGTTCTACAACCCCAGCATAGGCGAACGATGCTGAGGCATAGAGAACACGTACCTTTAGATCCCGGTAGACGATCTTGGCAGAATGTAGGTAGTCTAAAGCAGAAACGATCTCAGCACCATAGAAACGGGTACGGTCTTCAGAAAAGACTCTCTCCCTGGACAAGTGGAAAAATAGCTGCAGAAAAGAGAAAAGATCAGTCAGGTTTCACCCAAACACACCTGGAGTAGGGCAGAGCGGAGCTTACAGCCCACTTCATTATGACCACACATGGAAACGGCTCAAGGGAGAAAAAGGTGGGAACCCCAGAGGGAAACTAGCTGCCCCCCCCCCCCCCCCCCCAAGGCTTGAACTACTTCAGTTGTGTGTAATGAATCTAATATATATGTTTATGTATTTAGCAGACGCTTTTGTCACTTACAAGTGATAATTGGCATGTTGCCCTTGAGGCTAACAACAACAATAACAACAACAACAACAACAACAACAACGTGACATCAGTCATGGAGAGGAGGGAACAAGGAGTGGATGGTAGAGGGGGGACGGGTGCAGGGAGGGTGCTAGTTTAGAAGATGCTCTCTGAAGAGCAGGGTCTTCAGGAGTTTCTTGAAAATTGAAAAGGAAGCTCCTGTTCTGGTAGTGCTTGGAAGGTCATTCCACATTTGTGGAACGATGCATGAGAAAAGTCTGGATTGTCCTGAGCGTGGTGTAGGCACTGCTAGCCGACCATCCTGTGACGACCGGAGCGGCCGGGCCGAGACGTAAGCCTTTGCAAGAGGATCCAGGTAGATGGGAGCCGTACCGTCTCGGACTTTGTATGCTAGTGTTAGCTATTTGAATTTGATGCGTGCTGCTAGCGGTAGCCAGTGGAGCTCCATGAACAGAGGGGTGACGTGTGCTCTTTTTGGCTGATTGAAGACCAGACGCGCCGCTGCGTTCTGGACCATTTGAAGAGGTCTCACAGTACAGCCTGGAAGACCAGTTAGAAGGGCGTTGCAGTAATGGAGGCGGGAGATGACAGTAGATTGCACAAGGAGCTGGGTGGCATGTTGTGTTAGGTATGGTCTGATCTTTCGTATGTTATACAGCGCAAAGCGGCATGAACGGGCAACAGAGGCAGCATGATCTTTAAAGGTCAGGTGTTCATCAATCACAACACCCAGATTTCCAACTGCCTTTGAAGGAGCCAGAGATAGGAAGTCATTCTGGATTGAGATATTGTGCTGTATGGATGGTTTTGCTGGGATGACAAGTAGTTCAGTTTTAGAGAGGTTGAGTTGGAGATGGTGGGATTTCATCCATTTTGATATGTCAGAGACAGTTTGATATTCGTGCAGAGACAGTGTGGTCGTCCGGTGGAAATGACAGATAGAGCTGGGTGTCGTCTGCATAGCAGTGGTAGGAGAAGCCACGTGATCGAATGAGCTCACCCAGTGAGGTGGTGTATATGGCAAAGAGAAGAGGTCCTAGTACAGAGCCCTGGGGGACTCCTGTGGCAAGATGGTGCACGGTAGAGGATTGTCCAAGCCAAGATACACTGAATGATCGTCCTGTAAGGTACGATTCAAACCAGGCGTGTGCTTGCTCTGTGATGCCCATGCTAGAGAGTGTGGACAAAAGGAAGCCTTGGTTGACAGTGTCACATGCAGCCGATAAGTCGAGGAGGATAAGCACTGAGGATTTGGCTGTCGCTCTAGCTTTTTTTAAGGATTCCGTCACTGCTAACAGAGCAGTTTCAGTGGAGTGGCCCTTTTTGAACCCAGATTGGTAAGGGTCAAGCAGACAGTTTTGTGAGAGGTATTCTGTGATCTGCTTGAAATCCACCCTTTCAATCATTTCGGACAGAAAAGGGAGGAGAGAGATAGGTCAGTAGTTCTCCACATGATTTGGAGGAAGAGATTTTTTTAGCAGCAGTTTAACCTGAGCATCCACAAAAATAAACAATCATGAATAAGAGTCTGAATAAGAGTCTGAATAAGAGTCTGCTTCTAGACGTGCAGAAAGAGAAAGAAGAGAAAAAAATGGGACACAACAATACAACAGGAGCAAGCTATCACTGCGTCAGCATGAAGAAATATACAATCAGCATTGTTTAACTGAACAACCACATGATAATAAATCATAGTGCATTTAGTGGCAATAACAACACGTAGCTGACGAAGAAAGACATTCACTTGTTTTCAAGATAAGCGACTGCCTTGAACGTGGTTTTAAGGAGAGAGGTCTGATGGTTGATACCGGGGCCACATCCCACATCATCACTGACTTAAAGAAATTCAGATGTTTGGATGACACCTTCCAGCCTGAGAAGCACTTTATGGAGCTCACTGATGGAAAGAGAACAAGTGGCATCGCACTCAAGAGAGGTGAAGCTGTGGTCAACCTACGAGACAGCAAGGGTCGCCTTGTGTCATCGATGCTACAGAGGGCGCTCTGCATCCCAACATTTCCACAGGACATGTCAAGGCTGCGACCACCAACGGTGCTGAGGTCCACTTCAAGTAGGAGAACAGCCAGCTGATTCACAAGGACAGTACCAGGTTTGAAATCAAACAATACGGGTGACTATTATCTGAACACTGTTGATGAGAGTGATAATGATGAAAGTTATGGATGTTATGAAATCCAGACATGTCATAAAATACTTGGGCACTGTAATTATGATGATTTACTTAAATTAGAGAGTGTAACCCGAGGGATGACAATCAAAGGGGAAAGCAATAAAACAGATAACATCTGTGAAGTCTGTATACAAGGAAGGTTTGCTAAGACAAGCAACAGGGAGCCTGATATAAAAGCTTAAGAAGCACTTGAGCTTGTGCATACAGATTTAGCTGGCCCCACAGACCCAGGGGCAAAAGACGGTTTTAAATACGCATTAGCATTTACTGACGACTATTCAGGTGCAATGTTCGTATATTTTCTAAAAGCCAAAAATGATGCTGCAAAAGCTACGGAGATGTTTATTGCTGATCCTTATGGGAATACCAAATGTATCAGATCTGATAATGGTACAGAATTCACGTCACTTTTAAACAAAAATGCTATTAGACATGAAACGTCAGCACCATCAAAATGGGACAGCTGAGAGGAGCTGGAGGACTTTATCTGAGATGGCGAGGTGTCTGTTATGAGAAAGTGACCCACCTAAAGAACTGTGCACGTATGCAGTAAGGACTGCAGCAGTTATGCAGAATAGATGTCTGAATAGACGAACAGGGCAAACTCCTTACTGCTTGTTGACCTGTCTATTAGTAAACGTAGCACTGGTGCAACTTTGAATTACTATTTTCCCCAGAACTTTATTGAACAAAAGTAAGTTACGTGTAAGAAAAATTTATGGTGATGATGATGATGATGATGATGATGATGATGGTAAAACTAAGAAGACTAAACTCTACAAGTGGATGAAAAGTCCCCACCATCCAGTTTATTCTGCATCCTGCAGCGCTACGGACCAGAACCGCTGCAGACACGAGTCACATTACTGCTGGCGCAGGATGTATGGCAAGCCGTTGTAGTATATAATTCACAAACGCTTCTAGCTTTGAACATAATTTAAACTGGATTATTGCCAACCCGTACATAACAGACATGCCACCGTTACATATTTAGCAGCAGAAATTACATGTTATTAGCATTTCCAACACACATGCATGTTAATGAAATGCATTATATTTTACTGGATATACTTATGTGTTATTTAGACTAAGATGAGTGTTATTAATACAACCTAAAATGTTACTGAAATGTAGGTCAAATATATAAAATATTTAACTATAAATATCAGATGGAAAAAGGAACTAAACACCAATCTGATGCCTTGATGCAACCTGCTGGGTTCCTTATACAGGAAACTTTATTTCTGATTGGCTTAATGAACTGACCTGTATTGTATTATGTGAAGTGCCTTGAGACTACGCTCGTCGTGATTTGGCGCTATATAAATAAACTTGAATGCATATTGAGTCTTTTATGATAAAAGTCTGTTATTTCAGCCTGATAATTTTGTTGTTTTATTTCATATTTTTTAGCAGCAAGCCAGTTTTGCTTCACTTGAAATGTTGTCCAATGGCATATTCTATTCCATTCCAACAGAAGCTTAGATTAGAACATTTAACGAAAAAATATTTTGTCGTTCAAAAGGTGAGGCAGTTGAATACACATAGTATGCATGTGCTGGCACATGGACAGGATGGTACTACCACCTCTGCCTCAATTTGAGCCCAGAAAAACCCTACTATGTGATGGAACCGATCAAAGGAGCCCAGAGAGATTGATCTGAAGTGGAAGCAGAGGTTATATCAAGTGCAATATGATCTAACAAAAGATTTCTATACTGGTTAATGCAGAGAGTTTCTCTATTTTTCCAATTCAAGAGGATAGTTTTCTTAGCGATGCATACGGCAGTCAGAACCACGTGAACCACAGATGTTTCAATCGGGACATCGTCCAGGTTTCCCAGTAAACAAAGAGAGGGGGTGGATGGGATATGACATTTCAGAGACTTTGACAGATCCTCACATACTCTACCCCAAAATTCCTGGACAGGTGGGCAGGACCACAGTGCATGAATGTAATCATCAGGAATGTTGTTTGTGCAGAGTGTACAGGTGTCAGACGACACAAACCCCATCTTGAACATCTGATGACCTGTATAGTGTACTCTGTGTAGAATTTTGTACTGAATTAATTGTAAATTGGGGTGTCTGATCATTTTAAAAGTTTTTAAACAAGTTTGGGACCAGAAGTCCTGGTCAAAGCTAACTGATAGATCCACCTCCCAGTTTTCAATAGGGATTACTATTCTATCGTCTATTTTGGACAGTGTCTTATATACTTTAGACAGTAGTTTGGGGGGTTGAGATTATAGAAGTCTAATACCCTTGGTGGTGTTTGTAATTCTATTTTATTGAGCTTAAATTTTAGTTTGACTACAGATTTAATTTGGTGATATTCTAAAAAGCTATTCTTATCCATTCCAGATTGGGAGACTATTTGATTAAATGGGATGAAGTCCAATCCTTCATATATGTGTTCCAGGTATAGGATTCCTTTATTTTTCCAGTCCGGAAGGTTCATCATTTTGTTATTTTGCAAAATGTCAGGATTGTTCCAGATAGGTGTGCGTCTGCATGGTACCAGTGAAGACTCGGTCATTTTAAGATACTCCCACCATGCTGTCAGAGAGGTGCTGATACTAATACTTTTGAAGCCTTCATGTTTTCTTATGCTTGAGCTAATAAATGGTAAGTCTGAAAGCTCTATCGTATTGCAAAGTGTCTGTTTGCAGCAAGCAAAACAATCTCATTGACTCATGGTTTTAATTTTCACCGCTAGAAAGTTGAGCAGCTCATCTTCCGCTATAACTTTATCATTAGTCTTATAAACCTCAGGTTTCAACCGTGGTCGTTTAAACTCCATATTCTTTGCGATCAGGTGCTCCTCACATGAACCTGAGTGACCCACACCCGTATGCGCCAAAGCCGCCATCTTGGAATGACCACACAATGCGTAATTAGTTCCTACACATGATATACGCACAGATCTGTTCGTAAATACGGTTGATAAACAAGGCCCCGGACTTATGTTCACACAAAACCTAAAACAGCGTTTCCCCGTTAGAAAATAAGCACGTTCTAGGTATCACAATGCGTATTTAAAGTTCACGGACATCATATGTGAAATCCATGGTACACAACAAGCAGAATGAGAAAATAGCTTTTTTAGTCCCATTGATATTTTCCTCTCTGTCTTACAGTTTGTTGGTCCTCAACCTCTCAGAATCCCAATAATGGACGTTAATCTATCCCAATCCGTGCCGATTCGTCCACTCTCTCCTTGATGGCATCCATCTTTTGTGCCAAAGAATGAATCTCGGCCAAAGTTCCAAGCTTACGATTCATCTGAACAATTATGTGAGTCTGTGAATTCACAGCGTGGTGCAAACCATCTCTGAGCTCCAGGAGCAGGCCAGTATTCCTCAACAGCTCGTTACTTTTCCGGTAAGTCAGGTAGCCTCCAAGGCCAATGAGCAGGAAGCCTGACACCAACACCACGAATATCCACACGTCTTCAGAGTCCTCCACAGACAGCTGAGAAAGACAGATCAAGTTCCACTGTTTCCAGGAGTCCATGATGTTTCCAACTGGGTCTGTCCCGGCGGGACATCCGGGAGCCCCTTCTCCCGTTCTCATTGTTGAAAAAATTGTATTAATTGCGTTGAGAGACCAGCTGACGAGATCCATTTAAATGTATTTCAGTTTCCAGAAACATGCAGAAGCAGCCGTGCACCCAGCACACAGACAGACAAAGGCCTTGAGGATAAGATATGGAGGAGAGGAGGAAAGCGTCTGCACCCGCCAGGAGCCGGAAGAAGAATCCGCCATCCTTTTGAAAATACCACACTGTATTCTGGGAAATTTTTGACCAAGGCCAGGCTACAAGACAGCTCCCGTGTATCGTTGCTTGGCTAGCTAAACGGCTAACAAACGGAGGACAGACGCCCCTGCAGCACATCTACATTAGAACACGCCTTGGTGGTTTCTGATGACTTACCTCCTGCTCTGCTGAGTTGTTAGTTTAGGACATTGTTTTGTTCAAAGCATTAACAGATCTGTCAGATTTATATTATGTGTGTCATCCCCCCCCCAGTGCTGGCTCCCAGCTCACGCACATTACATTACACCCCCAGCCCCCCACGCTCAGACATCGTCAGCAGATACATCATGACTCTGGTTTAGAACCACATCTGGGTTCGACCTGGACCAGGACCGCTGCAGCCTGAGTCCAATAGTTCCTTTCAGCTCTCCCGACTGGTTAGTGGGATTATTTTGTAGAAAGCATGAACGAATAAGTGGAGACTGCGGTTCATAGGAACATATTTCACCGTCGGACATCATGTTGATGATGTGTGATCGAAAAAGAAACCCAAATCACAGTAACACCTTTAAAATGGTCCAATCAGCAGCCCAGCCAGCTACATCAGCTCGTTCACACCCAGACTCAGCTCCAGCGATTTAGGAGTTTAACATGGCTACTGGTAAAATGAGTTACTATTACTGTTACTACTGCTATTACTATCATGAATAACACATAAACAGCAGTGAAACCTCCCAGCGACCTCTCACCTCTCCTCCGTTGACGTACTCCATGACGAAGCAGAGTCGATCCTTGGTCTGGAATGAGTACTTCAGAGACTGAGACACAACATGAAGGTCACTACAGATCCACACAGCATCAACCAGATGTAATCTACAGTCAGACTTACAGTTAGAAAAGGGTGCCGCGTGTTTTTTAATACCCTGCTTTCTGTGAGTGTGTGAGCAACTTCATCCTGAGGAAATGAGATGAAAGAGGTGATTGGTTAGAGAAAAGGAGCATCAGCAGAGCGCCACCTGCTGGTTACACAAACAGCAACAAGACCTGAACACAAGTCAAAGCTGAGTCTGATAATCCCGACCTTGGCGATAATGACTTCTTTCTTCAGGATCTTCATGGCGTAGTAGGTGCCGCTAGCCTTTTCCCTCACCAGAATTACCTTTCCAAAGGTGCCTTTGCCAAGAAGCTTCAGATAGTCAAAGTCATTCATTGTCTGAGTAAAATACATGAAAGAAACAGCAATTAGTTTTACCAAATTTAACACATTTTCCATCAGCAGCTGTCTAAAACAGCCCTAACACCCCACTGGTACCTTTCGTTTGTAGTGGCTGATGGAGGTGTCCATCTCCTCCTCGTTGACATTCTCAATCTGAGACGTGGGGCTGCACAGGATGCCTTCCTCCTCCTGCTTAGCTAGAGACTCTGCTACCATCTGGATGGCCTCGGCCCACTCGTCCCTGAAGGCAACAGTACAGGACTACAGACCAGCAGACCAAACTGTCCTTCTGACAGTCGGACCGAGCCAAAGCGGCCCCTACAACCCCACACATGGATAAACATCACAGAAAACATTGTCTCTTGTTTTTAATATTACTCTCTTTTCAATGCCAAGCAGCGTCCACCATCATTGTTTTATTTTGAAAATGTTTAAGACAACGGTGCATGTAACAGTTGGGAGGTTTTATGACATCATCAGTGAATATTTAGATTTGAGTATTTTTGAGGAAGTTTATAGATGTAATGAATTTTTGAATTTGTCCGTTTTTCTACTTTTGCCTAAACAAACTTTATTGTTACACAAGTGTTTGAGTTCAGAGTGATGATGCACCCTAACCCCTTCACAAGTTCAGCGGCCCCTCGTTCATTAAGATTAACCGCAACAGGCAGAATCCACAAAGTAGTCCGCTTCATTTTTTACTACTAGTACAGATGTTTGTAGCGTACGCGACTACTGGGATCTCACACACACACACACACACACGCACGCACGCACGCACACGCACGCACGCACGCACGCACGCGCACGCACGCGCGCGCACGCACGCACGCACGCACACACACACACATACACACACACACACACACACACACACGTACATACACACACACACACACACACACACACACACACACTAACTTCAGTGATCCAGTCTGGCATCGTCACGCGCCTCCTCCTGTATTTAGACACGCCGGAGCACAGATCACTAACGTGCTCCTGCTGGCACGGTTGCTCTCCTCTCCCCGGGAGATGGGCTCGTCCCAGAGCATGGGACATTAAGGCTGCAAACCCCTCGCTATCCACTTTATACTTTACAGGCATTTACATTTTCACACTTTTCATTTTTTTAAACGTTCTCAAAGTTCAAACCGTTTTCCTCGTAACACAGAACACAAAGTGGGTGTGTCCACGGGAACGTCACTGGACACAGCTGGATCATCCGGAGGAGGCGCAGGAGGAGAGGTTCTGAAAGTATGCGAGGAGCTTTCAGAACTTTTGAAGGAGGAGCTGAGATTGATCCGATGAGACGGTGATGAACTGCCCTAAGAGTGAAGCTACAACAGTGGAAAGCTGGCCTGACGCAGGGTATGAATAAAACCAGGCTGTCAATGTGTGTGTGTGTGTGTTATTTGCACGTGCAACCCTTTGGTAGCTGAGATAGCTACAGTGGTGGCCCGTATGAGGAGCTCATGCACATCATCTGGTGTAACGGAAGGTGGAAGGCTCAAACACACTCCCCCCCCCCCGGTCAACAGGCCCAGCCAGTGACTGCCCTGGGGCAAGTGATGGCGGACATTGCTCAGCTTCATCGTGAGTCACATGAGCGGTGTTTCCGGCAGATGGAGCTGCTGCAGGCCCAAGTCGAGCAACAGACGGCCATACTACAACATCTGGCCACCCGGTTCAGATCTGCCAGTCAAGAGGCCTCACCGGGACCCCCGCCATCACGCTCCAATGGATGACGTTGGCAAATGACCAAAGCATTCCAGGATGTGTTCGAGCTCACCGCCACCACCTGCCAGTGGCAGAGCAGGGAGTGGAGGATCCGGCTTCTCCCACTGCTAACCAGGGAGGCATAAGTGGCAGCGATGGCGCTCCCACCAAGTGGCCGAGGCTTCAATGACCTGAAGAGGGCAGTGCTGGACTGGCTGGGTGTACGCCTGAGGACTATTGACGTAAGTTCTGCACGCTCATAATGGGACAGGTAGATCAACCCTTCGCTTTTGCTAAACAGTTGTGAGATGCAGCTGGGCGCTGGCTTTGCCTGGGATCATCGGACGACTAGCAAGCTATGGTGGAGAAGATCAAGTTGGAGCAGTTTGTGGAGCGTCTACCACCGGGGACTGAGGACAGCGTAAAATGCCACAGGCCCGGTGACCTCTAGCTGGCGATCACCTTGGCTGAGGACCACCTGGCGGTTCGACACTCTCGCCGAGTATCGGAGCTCCGGGAAGCCCCCTCCCACCAACTGACTCCAGCGCCTCAGAGGAACCGGCCAGCAGAGGCAACAGCAGGCAGTGGGTTGCTGCCGCCTCCGGTTCCCAGTCCCAGGACGGATGTTGCCGCACCACCCCACTGCTGGAAGTGCAGGGCCTCCGGCCACGTATGACGACCAGGTAGCCAAGATGACCAGACAAGTCCAGACCAAACTGAAGGATGTAAGGTTGGGGGGGGGGGGGGGGGGGGGGGCAGGCACACCATGTGCTAGTGGATTTGGGTTACTCCCAGCACAAGAACAAGAACAAGAACAAGAAGAAGAACAAGAACAAGAACAAGAAGAAGAAGAAGAAGAAGTAGTGTTTAGAAATTCTGAGGCTATGGGGAACGAATCAGGGGTGTTAATTAAATGCATTCATGGTGATGTGCAAGAGTATCCCGCTCTCCAGCTGGACATTTACTTTTAAGGGCCAAAAGCATACGATTTGGGCTGCGGCTAGCTCCCGCCTGTCGCAACCCCTGATCTTGGGTACTGATTGGCCCGAGTTCAAAGGGTTGGTGGAACAATGTGTGGGGATGCATTTACGACCATTGGTCAGTTGTAAGGTGAGGAGGGTGTTCAATGGTGATGGAAGGTTATGCGGCACTGCTCCAGGTGGTGGAGGAGCAGCGGGACGCCCGGTAGGAGCTCCAGTCGTTGCCCCATTTCAACACACTGAGAATTTCCTACTGGAACAGTCTCCTAATGATACTCTACACTCCGCCTTCTACCAGGTAATGCCATTGATGGTCATAAGGTGTGCTCTGACTCCCCTCTCTCCTATGCCTATTTTGCATTGATTAGGGAAAGACTTTGAAGGGTGAGTCGTGACACCCAAAGAGACACAGAAATTACCCATTTGCTGGTGCCTAAAAGCTGTTGGGAATTGGTTTTCCAGGCGGCGGCTCATTACAACACCATGGCCGGACACTTGGGACATTAAAAAACTATTTCTCAAGTGATGGATCTTTTCTACTGGCCGGGCATCCACCGTTGGTGTGCGGCCTACTCGGAATGCCAATTGGTAAATCTTTGGGCCACCCCGCCGGCGCCGCTGCGGCCTCTCTCGTTGATGGAGGTCCTGTTTGAAGTCCTCAGAATGGATATAATCGGTCCAATTCCCATAAGTGCATGGGGATATCGGTTTGCTCTAGTACTAGTGTACTACACATCTCAGCATCCTGAAGCCGTGCCACTGCGTAGCATCGCTGCTAAAACTGTGGCACGGGCACTGTTTCAGGTTATCTTCCGGGATGGGATCCCAAAAGAGATCCTAACTGACATGGCACTATGTTCTTGTCTCGCACACTTCTGGAACTGTATGTATTATTAGGGGTCACGTCGGTGTGAACTAGTGTCTACCACCCGCAGACTGATGGGCTGGTGGAGCGGTTCAACTGTACTCTTAAGACTATGATCCGGATGTACTGTTATTTGCAGTCTGGGAAGTACCCCAGGCCTCCACGGGGTTCCCCCCTTTTGAGCAGCTATATGGAAATGTCTCCGAGGAGTACTAGACCTTATTAACCCTCCCACTGTCCTAATGGGTGTGACCCCACGAGGAAAGTTGACCATTGAGCAGGGTTGATGGTTTATCCCTTGGGTCCATGTGGCAGGGGTGAGGAGTGAGCACCGATCAGGAAACGGCCGGCAGCGAATGAGTTACAAAGCACACTAAACTGCGAGTCTGGAAGCGGTGAACGGCATTATAGCGAGGGACCGCTGAACTCTTACAGGTGTGAGAACATTTGGATGATGGTTACATTTTTTATGAATGTCTACATTTAGGTTTGTTTACATGGAAATGACTAAATAGTTGAAAACCACATTGAACACAATAAGATGCTTGTTGATCAGAGCTCTGTTCTGAAGACCTGCTGTTGGTCCTCAGGTCAGCGCTGAAGACGAGGCAACACCAAAACTCTGGAACCAGACTCCATTACACGTTAGGCAGTCCTCCTCTGCAGCTGTGTTTAAATCAAAGCTGAAGACGTGTTTTATGATCTGTGGGGTGGCGATAGTCTTTTACTGTTATTCGGTTTTATTGACTTAGCTTCTTGTATTGATGTTATGTTTGTCTGCTCAGCACTTCACTGGCATGTTTATGTCTTTGAACTGCTATTTAAATAAAACTGGAGTTGAGTGGAGAGTGACACCTGTTGATAACTGCTGGTGGAGCTAGTTATTATTATAGATTTATACCTATTAGAAGGCATTAAGTTAATATAATAAAACCAGATCGATATGTGTGACGTGAGAAAGCAGCTGAGGCTCACCTCTCATCAGGAGAGTCCACATGAAAGGTCCTCTCGATGACGGTGGTCCACTGTAGACAGCGAATGATGAAGGTGTTGGGTTTGGGCCGTTCGGTCTTCATCAGCTGGCATTCTGTAGGGTCCACAGAGACAAGCTGTGTTAGATTACAGCTGATGGAGTACGGTGTCTGGGACGGATGCTCAGCTCATACTTGCTACAGAGAAGTTGTTGAGAGGATAAGCCAGGTCTGAATCCTGCGGTTTGTCCTTGTAGCCGATGAAAGAGCCGTCTGTCTTCAGCAGAAAGTAACGCGGTCGCCAGTTCTTGATGTACTCACCTGCAGGGAGGGAGGGACACAGGTCAACAGGTCACCTCCTGACATCTACATGTGTGGTAAGAAACTCAGCCATTATGGTCTGAGACATAAGCTATGGCGATAGCATCACATGACAGGATGTTACAATCACACACACGCACACACACACGCCCGGAGAACATGACCTGTTGCGTAAAGGGCCTCTCCTGTTTTGAGTCTTCACAGCTCCAGTCTCTTTTGGTTTGGTTCTCCTCTCCCCTACCTTCTACAGCTGTTTCCAGAGCACACAGCACACGATGCTGAGGGAAGCCAAGTTACAGCGCATCCGGAACGTCTTCATACAGTGGGGCAAAAAAGTATTTAGTCAGCCACCGATTGTGCAAGTTCTCCCACTTAAAATGATGACAGAGGTCAGTAATTTACATCATAGGTACACTTCAACTGTGAGAGACAGAATGTGAAAAAACATCCATGAATTCACATGGCAGGATTTTTAAAGAATTTATTTGTAAATCAGGGTGGAAAATAAGTATTTGGTCAATAACAAAAATTCAACTCAATACTTTGTAACATAACCTTTGTTGGCAATAACAGAGGTCAAACGATCACTATAGGTCTTTACCAGGTTTGCACACACAGTAGCTGGTATTTTGGCCCATTCCTCCATGCAGATCTTCTCGAGAGCAGTGATGTTTTGGGGCTGTCGCCGAGCAACACGGACTTTCAACTCCCTCCACAGATTTTCTATGGGGTTGAGGTCTGGAGACTGGCTAGGCCACTCCAGGACTTTCAAGTGCTTCTTACGGAGCCAGTCCTTTGTTGCCCGGGCGGTGTGTTTGGGATCATTGTCGTGTTGGAAGACCCAGCCACGTTTCATCTTCTAAGCTCTCACTGATGGAAGGAGGTTTTGGCTCAGAATCTCACGATACATGGCCCCATTCATTCTGTCCTTAACACGGATCAGTCGTCCTGTCCCCTTAGCAGAAAAACAGCCCCAAAGCATGATGTTCCCACCCCCATGCTTCACAGTAGGTATGGTGTTCTTGGGATGCAACTCAGTATTGTTCTTCCTCCAAACACGACGAGTTGAGTTTATACCAAAAAGTTCTACTTTGGTTTCATCTGACCACATGACATTCTCCCAATCCTCGGCTGTATCATCCATGTGCTCTCTGGCAAACTTCAGACGGGCCTGGACATGCACTGGCTTCAGCAGCGGAACACGTCTGGCACTGCAGGATTTGATTCCCTGCTGTTGTAGTGTGTTACTGATGGTGACCTTTGTTACTGTGGTCCCAGCTCTCTGCAGGTCATTCACCAGGTCCCCCAGTGTGGTTCTGGGATTCTTGCTCACCGTTCTCATAATCATTTTGACCCCACGGGATGAGATCTTGCGTGGAGCCCCAGATCGAGGGAGATTATCAGTGGTCTTGTATGTCTTCCATTTTCTGATAATTGCTCCCACAGTTGATTTTTTCACACCAAGCTGCTTGCCTATTGTAGATCCACTCTTCCCAGTCTGGTGCAGGTCTACAATTCTTTTCCTGGTGTCCTTCGAAAGCTCTTTGGTCTTGGCCATAGTGGAGTTTGGACTGTTTGAGGCTGTGGACAGGTGTCTTTTTGTGCGGTCAAAATCATGATCATACAGCATATTTAGATTGAAATAAAAACTAAAATAAAAATATAAAAAAGAATGGAAAAAATATGTAAAAATAAAGAAAATAAATAAGACACACGGGGTAGGTGGTAGATGAAACAGCTGGAACTAATTAAGGTCAGTGCGCGCGTCGCTCCACGTCTCAGAACGTCACCGCGCATTTCCTGCCTGAAATGTTTTATGTAGGACATGTCAGGAGAGAGAACTGTTTGTGAAAGTTCCTAGAGGAAGCACTAACGTGGTGATCCTCCGAAGCGGTAAATGACACTCATCTAAAGACTGGAAAGGCAGCCGGTAAGACGCAGATTTGTAACGCGTGTGCGCATGCCGATCAGCTGATGTGTGATGTTAAGCGCAGCTCGGAGCTGTGGTCTCCGGTGCGCATCATAAATGTTTGTGTCGGGTGTTTAGAAGTCAGTTTGATGTTTGATTGTTAATAAGTTACTTCAAACCTGCTCATTATTTGATGTTGTTATGTAAGAGTGAAACAAATAGCTGAAGTGATGAATTTAAGTGAGTTTGGGTCCGAATGAATTAATATATCCGAATGAATTAATGATATATCCGAATGAATTAATGATATATATATATATATATATATATATATATATATATATATTCGTGCTAACATTTATAAATGAATATCACATTGAAATCACGCATTTTATGAATGGCTGTTTATAATGAAATGTTACACAATTTACACTGTTTCTTAGCACACACAATGTTTTTGTTTAAGGTTTTTCACCTGCTCGTAGGCTTTGCCTTGCTTCGTGCTTCATCATCCCCTATTTCCGTCTTGGATAATATGAAACGGAAGTGAAATAAAGGAAAATGAAAAGTGAAGCCATGAAGTCCTGAGTGGAATCCTGCGTATTTCTCCAGTAGATGATCCCTGTTAAGTGGGGATTGTGTCACCTAACAGAGGAACTTAACAGTGAAAAACCGGTCTCTACGCATCAACAAAGAAGAATCGAAATGGATGAGTCAGAGAAATCCGTTGAACAACTGAAGGCCGAGAGAACATCAGCAAAAAGATCTTTCTCACGTTTGGTTAATACCATAACCAGAACATACAAGGATATGTCTGAGGAAGAGCTCAAAGCCAGCTTCAGTAAGCTTAGCTTGCAGGCTGAGAAAGTAATGACTGCAAATGATGAAGTGGAGGCGGGACTCATCGCAAAGTTGGAGGCTGAGCTGGACTCTGAAGGGGATGTAGCGTTAACAGAACAACAAAAGGCCGACATAGAAAAAACTGCAGAGGAATGCGAGTCAAAGCTTACAGAAAGTAAAGCCCTTCTTCTAAATGCTTTGTGGGATAATTTTGGATACACTGAATTGACTACAGCATTCCAAATAGCAGAAACCGAGTGTGAACGTGCCGCCGCTGTGAGTCCAGATAGCAGCCAGGAGGCATATAACCTCATTCTCACTCACTTACAAGATGTGGCACGATCTGGAAAAGAATTATATGCCCAGTGGAAGCGGTGGATTCCATCGCATGACCAAGAAGAATTTCAGGGTCGGTTCAAAGCTCTTGAACTAACAATCCCAAGGCTAATCTCCAGAAAGGCTGACTTCATAAAAAGAAGGGATTCAGAAGAAAGGGTGATGACTTTACCCACACATCTTACAACACCTGCTATTAAACTAAAGCCAGTGGCTCTGCCTAAGTTTGGAGGAAATAAACGAGACTTTCACAGATGGAGGAAGGAGTGGGAAGCCCTTCAAAAGCAGGGTGAACCAACTGGTTCTCAGGAGGTGAAGAAGCTTCAGTTACTGGACAGTCTTGATGAGAAAATAACAAGAAACCTTCATCTTAACACTTATCACACTGTAGAAGAAATCCTTCGTGTTTTGGAGAACCGTTTCGGCAACCAAACGGTTATCGCTATTGAAATAGTAGAGGAACTTCAAAGAATTCCACCTGTAAGGAATTATCAACCAAGGAGGATCGTTGAATTGATTCAAGCGGTGGAAAAGGCTCTTTTGGATTTAAGTGACCTTGGAGATACTGGTGCTATTAAAAACCCACTAGTAACAAAGTCCATTGAAAGCAAACTTCCTACAGCACTCAAAAAGGAATGGTTGATGCACGTCGCTAAAGAGAAGAATGGTGTAACACCAGACAATCGTTTCGATAGTCTGTTAGATTTCCTCAAGGACCAGGAAAAAATTTATGAACAACTCGATCAGCTCTGTGAAGATGAGTCGGGCAGAAAGGAAACCAAATCCGAGTTCAAAAACACCAGAACCAGATCTACTAAACAAGAACTAGCTATGTGTGTTGTCTGTGGAGATCAAAAGCACAAGAAAAAACTTTATTTCTGCAAACAGTTCCGAGGTCTAAGGACTGAAGAGAAGAAGGCAGCTGTTAGAAAGCTGGGAGCATGTGATAAATGCCTGGAAGTGCATAACAGCGATTCCTTCTGCAACCCCGCCTACTTGTGCAAGGATCAGGATTGCAAGACCGACAACCTGCCTTCACACCACTTTTGTCTTTGTCCAAATGCTCAGTTCAAGAAAAGTGAAATGAGCCAAAGGAGGAGTAAACTCGATCCAGAAAAGGTTAAAGGTCAAAGAAGATATACTGAAGAGCAAGAGGAGTTTTTCAACAAATTATCACCGGAGCTGGCTAAACAATGCAAAAATGTATTTTCAAACGCCACCACCAGGACTCTAAACTCCATACAAAAACAAGGACTATTGGAAAAGTACAATTTACATGAGTTACCAGTCATCATGATGTTATTGAAAGTCACTGCCAATGATGGGCAACAAATTGGTGCATTGATTGACTTGGCCTCTGATACAAATTATATTACCCACAAGGCGGCAAATAAACTAAACCTCAGAAGTGAAAAGATAAAACTCATTGTCCATGGAGTTGGAGGGATGAGAATCCAGGTAGAAACTAAAAGGTATCTTCTAAAAATCAGAGTGAAGACCCCAAAGGGAACTTTAAGATCTCATCAGTTGATTTGCTATGGGCTGGAAGCCATTGCTGACATCCAAAACCATGTGACAGCAAAGCAGTTACAAAAGATTTTCCCAGATGTGCAACTTGGCGATCTTGAGAGGCCTACGGAGATCCACCTTCTCATAAGTCACAGAGAAGGTCAACTAGTACCACAGAAAATCCATGCAGTAGGAGATCTCGTGTTGTGGGATGGGCCCCTTGGTAAAACAGTTGGAGGAACCCACCCAGAGCTTTTTGAAGATTTGACAATTTCCACAAATGGGTCAGTTACTCACTTCGCGAGGTCTATGAGGACAGCCGCTTTCAAATATGAGGAAGTAATCAGTGGAATGTCCCAAAGGTCCCCCCAAAATATGTGCCCGAAGGTAAATCTGCAAAGCACAA